CGGTGGTGGCAGTTGGGCTCTGAGGGTTTTTCCTGAGGAGCTGTTTTGTTTGGCGTTTGTAGTTTTAAAAATAAAGTTTGTTTCTTTTGACAAGTGGCTCCTGAATTGTGCCCAGTCAGACTGCGGCAACTAGTCTCCAATATTCACATTTAATTTAGCTAATTAATTGTCTCAACTATGTAGAATTTTGTTACTAAAAGTTGTTAAGAGTTTTGCAGATAAATACACCTGCTGATTCTTAAATAATTTATGGGGAAAAAAAGCTAAGATGTTCATACTCATATACTGGTAGGGCTATTAAGTTTAAGGCTATGGTAGGGCTATTAAGTTTCATCAAGAATAGGACACATTTTGAAGTTTTCCATACCTTACCTGGGGCAAATCTGTTAGGATTCCCAGGAACCAGGAGAGTACTAGAGCCTAGGTTCATATTCAGAAAGTTAGAAGTCAATTTGTGAGAGTACTAAAGCCAAGGTTACTTACATTATGATGATGCCATTGTCAATGGAAAATGAGTCTGAAGGTAGTCCAGCAATATTCCAAGTTCGAATTGTCACAGCTTCTCCCAGGGTACCCATAAGAGAATACTCATCTGAGCAGGGAATACTTTTTAGTTTGCACAACTCTGTCCACTCCTTGGTTTGGTTCTTTAAAGCATTTGCAGAAAGATATAGAGAGGATGTTACAATAATAATATTTTGTAAACTCCTCAATTATACTTTGAACTTTGAGAAAACCCACCATTATCAAAACTTCTGTAGCAGATTTTTGTTCAAATAACATTCTAATTAAGAGGGTCAGTTATGCATTTTAGTAAAAATGAAATATATTCAATGTTCGGATAAAACCTAGATTGATTATATAATGAAGTCAGGATTTTGTATCTGGAAAAAATAATTAACTATTGTTATCCTAAAACTTCATTTTTTACAGAGTAGTTGGAAACCACATTTTTCCTTAGATTACAGATATTTAGTAAAACTTAACATTTAAAGTAAATCCATTTTGAATAAGTAGAGGAAACAGAAAACATTTCTAGTTTTCATATGCCCTTGAGAGGGTCCATGGTAGGGCTAGTAAGTTTCATCAAGAATAAGACACATTTTGGAATTTTCTATACTCTAGCTGGGGCAAGTCTATTAGGATTCACAGGAATCAGGAGAGTACTAAAGCCAAGGTTCGTACTCAGAAGTTAGAAGTCAATGTTCAAGTTCAAGTTACAGATCAAAACCTTCAAAAACAGTGAAAGACTTGAGTAGAGAGAAATGAGCTAGAACAAAGGGAAGGCATCAACAAATCACATGGGAAGATGAATATGCATGGTCATGGTACCAGCTTTTGGTTTGATGAGGCCACTGTGTGCGCGCAGGTGGCACTGGCTCAGAGTGTATGGTGGGCACTACCATCTCCCCTTGGGTCTTGCTGAGTAGGCTGAACCAACATTCTGATTTGCACATGAAAGGCAATGACAGTTTGAGAGAGTTGATGACTTTCACGACTTGGGATAGGCCAGTTAATATTATGTAGAATGCTCCTTATATGGGTCTGTATGGAGTTCCCTCATGATTCACCTTGTCATGCACCTTGCCAGGAATATCACAGAAATGTTGCTGTTCTCATTTCATCCCATCAATGGTACATGATTTTAAATTGTTCATTTACTGACAACATTACTTTTTATTACTTGATTAAAGTGTTGACTTCCAGGCTTCTATTTCAAATTATATAATATGTGTGATATTACAGGTTCTTTGGATGGTAGAATACAACACAAAGACACTCAGATGAAAGAAGTTTTTGTTATTTATGGCTCTAAACTGTAAGAAGGCTGTCACACAGTGCCACAAAATGTATCACACCAGAGACAGAGTAACAAAGCTGGAGCTACAAAAGGCAGCTTGAGTGTGGTAAGCAGGATGGAATTAGCAAGGTTTCATGTATTTCAGAGGATTGGGTATTTTGAATAATTCTGTGAGCATAAGGAAAGGAACTGCTTCTGGGTATCCAGGATCTTGGAGCCTCTGCAGGGAGCCTAAAATAACCCAGGAGTGTTAGAGCTTGAAAAGAAAAATCGCTGGGGTGAGGGCTTCTCTCATTTGTGAGAAAACTGCTCAAAAATGAGAATCCAGAGCTTTTATCCATGATTCAAAATAGTGAAGACAGCACTTGTGAATGATGTCACAGCTTTTCTACTGCTAAGTTGTTCTTTCCCCTCTCGTTGCAACTAACATTGAAGCCTTTGTTCAGATACTTTGTGACTAGGAAAATGTCCTGGCTTTTGCCAAGCACTCATTTTTTTTTTTCATTTATTAATTTATGTCAGCATGGATTCATCTTTTTAAATTTTATTCAATGGGTTATGTTACTATTGCTATTTATTGTGATGCTGCAATGATCTAAACTTTGACAGTAGAAGTACTCTAAGCTAAATTCTATATCCTTTTTCTCTGGGCACTTCCTTACTCTTGCTCCCAAAAGATATTTCAGGCTTATCTTACATTTTGGGTGGGAGGTGCTAGGGATTGAACTCAGGGGCACTTGACTACTGAGCCACATCCCCAGCCCTGTTTTGTATTTTAGTCAGAGACTGGGTCTCACTGAGTTGCTTAGTGCTTTGCTGTTGCTGAGGCTGGCTTTGAACTTGCGATTCTCCTGCATCAGCCTGCATCAGCCTCCTGAGCCACTGGGATTACAGGCATGAGCCACTGCACCCAGCTGATCTTCCTTTTTTAAGGTCAGTTGATTAGCAGCCTTAATTCCACCTGCAAAATCCCTGAATCATATAACACATTCACATGTATAAACACATATAAATGTAGTCATACTTGGAGATAAAGATCCTGGGGGCAAAAATCCTACCTATCATAGGTACTTAATAAATATCATCTGGCTGTTTTATTTTGTTTTATGTGGTTGTTGTACCCAGCACAGGTGGAGTGACTATGTGAGTTGGAAGGGCAGTTGGCATTTCCTATGTGGATTCTGTCTCCCAGTACACAGTTCCTATTGGCATGGTTTCTTCTGTATGAATCTGCAAGTTTGTTCAAAGTTAGCTTGATGATGGAGTAGGCATGACAGTCGATGAAATGGGGGAAAAGAGAAAATGGAAGCAATATTTCCTTTGGAATGCTCTGTTTAAAGTTCACAGGTATAGTATGTTGCCACAGATGAACTCTGGGGTAGCAATTTAAGTGGCCCAATTATATGTCCATAGGGTATGTAGCACCAGAGAGTTAAATGAAAGAAACATGGAGGACTCTGAATAAGTATCTTAAAACATAAGCCAAGACCCTGGTTACTAACCTAGTGGTAAGACATATGATACAAGTAGAAAAGTAACCATGAGTGCCATCTTGGTGACAATATCACCCCTAAAACAGTTTTTATTCTGATTATTGGCAGGAAAGCTGTTGCTTACACAATGTGTGAATTAAGTCTAATCCAGGGTTTGTATATTCCTATCAGAAGTGTAAGATATTAAGGGGATAGGCATAGTCAATGGAGTTGAAGAACTAAGGGCCTCATTAACCAATTAGACTTTCTATATTTATGAAAAGCAGTGTAAATTCTAGGAAGGGGTTGACAAATAATTGACAACTACTTAGATTCTGGCTTTAAGCTTTTTTCCCACAAGTAGAATCTGAGATGAGGACTGATGCGAGGCACTTTATTGAAGAGTGGATGCCAGAGAAAGGAGTAGAAGCCAATCAAGGATGAAGGATCAGCCTCATTTCTGCAGGAGGTGATTTTGGTTTGATCCCACAAGGAACCATGGGAGTATAAATTATTCCTTGGAGTTGTCCCAACCACAAAACCAAGAAACAGATTCTCATACTCCTGCCTCTGTCTGAGCCAGAAGTGGGGGTCTAAGAACCCAAGGGAAGACTGACTTCCCCTGCTGCCACCCCAGGAAAAAAAAAGTCATAGTTACCAGCCATTGGACGTGAAAGGTGAGGACCTGGGCATAGCACTGACTTTGCTACTACAACCTTGACTTAAGCTTAAAGTTGAATGAGAGACCTCTGATGGAGTGCAGATGGCCAACTGTCTTGACTTGAGAGACGGATATGTGAGTGTAGGTCACAGAATAGGACTCTTACCACTGGATGATGTTTGCTTCCTTTCTAGGGATTGTCATGAACAGGAAAAGAATTTATTGGGAAAGGGTCAATTTTATCAATTTGTTGCTTCTTCCTCATTCCTTCTTCCCAGGCTACATGATTTTGTGCTTTGTCATTCTCCATATCTTACAGAACCAATCCTTCATACCCTCTGAACATAGCCTTTCCAGACTTCTTTGTCTTAGTCCCTGAGTATATTCACACTTGTTCACACTTGCCTGTTCAAATCCCCAACCTGCTTCAGCTGATGTGAGGCACTTTATTGAGCAGCCAGACTCAAAGGAGGAATCGAGTTGGGCTCCCTTTCACTTTTCTAACTTGAATTCTCTTGGGGAAAAAGTTCTTTGTTCCTGTGGCACCCTTTTTCTGCTAGGTACAGCCTCAGTCATGTGTCGGGTGCTTGCCAGGACTGTACAGCTGTCTTTGCTCAGATCTCTCAGCTCCTGCAGACCAGCATGGCTACCTCAAAATGGCTCCCACCAGCTGGGAAAAATGGGGTGCTTTTCATACACCAGTGCAGAGTGCAGCCTCTGGATAAGTCAAGGGCAGGCTAATTTTCTGAATTCAGGATTTTACAAACTAAATCTGCCTGTTGTACTTCTCTGTATTCTCCCTTCCCTCTGTGCTGAATCAGCACCTATACCACTGCTGCTGTTGCTACTGTTGCTGAAGCCAGAGGGTAAAAAATAGTCAATATAGATAATAAATAAGTGGGTCCCATTAGAAAGATGGGGGCTGGTTGTAAAGGGAAAAAAATCAAATGCTGACATCTCCAAAGTCCTTTATACCTCCTACTCCAACCTGTTGCTAAGGTAACCTTCCCCAGGGATTGTTTCTTCCTGCAGGGAGTTGTAGGAGTTGTTAATTAATGCCTCCTGGAAGCAGTATGGAGACTCCTTGGAAAGCTGGGAATGGAACTACCATTTGACCCAGCTATCCCTCTCTTTGGTCTATACCCAAAGGACTTAAAAACAGCAAACTACAAGGACACAGCCACATCAATGTTTACAGCAGCACAATTCACAATAGCTCAACTGCGGAACCAACATAGATGTCCTTCAATAGATGAATGGATAAAGAAAATGTAGTGTGCATACACAATGGAATATTACTCAGCAATAAAAGAGAATAAAATCATGCATTTGCAGGTAAATGGATGGTGTTGGAAAATATAATGCTAAGTGAAGTTAGTCAATCCCAAAAAAACAAATGCCAGATGTTTTCTCTGATATGAGGAGGCTGATTCATAGTAGGGTTGGGAGGGGGAGCATGGGAGGATTAGATTAATTCTACATAGGGCAAAAGGGGAGGGAGGGAAAGAGAGGATGCATAGGGGTAAAAAAGGATGGTGGAATAAGATGGATACCATTACCCTAAGTACATTTATGAAGACACAAATGGTGTGAATATACTTTATATACAACCAGAGACATGAAAAAATGTGCTTTATATGTATAATATGAATTGTAATGCATTCTACTGTCATATATAACAAATTAGAATAAAAAATAAAAAAATTTAAAAAAATTAATGCCTCCTGGGCTGTTGCCTTCCTGCCTGGATCACTGCACCCTTTGGTCCTTCCCCTGCCAGTTTTCGTCTTACCTTTTGGCCCATCCTTGTGGGCAGGATGGAGAGAGTTAAGGGGAGGAGAGGGCAGGAAAACAAAGAAAATCTAAAATGTATAAAAGGGGCAGGACACTCCCACTTCTTTGGATACTGACTCCAGGTCCTTTTTTTTTCCTCTGGAGAGAAGTCCATTTCTATCCTTTAAATAAAACTTGTTTTCTATGCCTGCCTTGGAGTTTCTCAGGTGGTCAATATCACATCTGGGGAAATGGGACTTGTCCTTACTGGTAAAACTGTATAGCAGCAGCAACTAGCTTGGCTACAGTGTAGTCTCTTCTGTGTTTAATGTACCCAAATTTCTGAGTCTCTAAGACATTCTGTCAAACATTGGGTTTTAGAGAAATCCTTCTTTCACTCATCTTGCCGAGAAGCAGTATCCCTGCTACCTGGTCATGGAGGGACAAGGAATGCAGCCTCCTCCAGCCCATCACCTTGAATCTCTAATTAATAGAATTTCAGGAAGGCTCATCTTTTCCTCCCCCAAAACTTCAGTCTTTGAAATGATTTTGAAATGACTTATTGAGACTCATGGAGAGTAGCGATTAAGCACATGAAAACACACTCTTTTATTCAGCTTTTTCACGGCTGTGACCAAAACAGCTGACAGGGACAATTTTAGGAGGAAAAGCTTATGTTTGGGCTAACAAGTTTCAGAGGTCTCAGTCCATAGATGGCTGACTCCGTTCCTCAGGCCCCTAGCTGAGAGAGAACATCATAGTGGAAGAGTGTGGTAGAGGAAAGCAGCGCAGGGCATTTCACCTCTAAAGCTTCTTTTATTATCTCACATGTCAGCTTTTGGGAGACACCTCACATCTAAACCATAACACACACACACACACACACACACACACACACACACACACACACACCTGATTCCTTTATACTTGTTTAGAAACTAAAATTTTGTATAAGAGTCTATCATTTCACCTTATATTTAGTTAAGGTTTAGATATGAGGTGTCCACCCAAAGCTCACGTGTGAACTGCAAGAATTTTCAGAGTTGAAATAATCAATGAGATCTTCAGCTTAATCAATTCATTAATCCATTGATACATAGTAAGTGGGTGTTAACGGCAGGCAGGTAGAGAGTAGCTGAAGGATGTAGGTCACTGGGTGTGTGTGTATTTTGGGGATTTACATTTTGTCCCTGAGGAGTGGGGAGCTCACCCTCTTTCCTCCTCCCCACTCTCTCTCTCTCTGCTTTCTGGATGCCATATCCTGGGCTGCTTTCCTTCTTCATGCCCTTTCACCATAATATTCTGCTTCCGAGGTATGGAGTTGGTGGACCATGTGCTACACCATGAGCCATCTGAAAACCATGAGCCAAAATAAACTTCCTCCTTTAAAATTGTTTTTTTGTCAGGTTTTACAGTCACAGCAACGTAATAACTGACTAAAACACATTTCTCAGTACATTTTTTTTGTTCTTAAAAAAATAGTATTTAGAAGAGTATTTCATATAACATCTTTTGGCTACCAACCTAATTTATAGGATAACTAAAACACACAACTAGAAATCATTTGAAAATATTTTGTGGCTCCTTGTACTTATATCCCAATCCCCTAAAAAATATCACAAAAAAAACCCATAATCTCCCTGAGGTTAATGTTGACTATGATGAGAAGAGGTCAAGAAGAGATCCAAAACATTCCTTACCTGTCTGTAGTTAGATGTAAAGGCCCCCAGGTAAGCAACAACTCCTGAGGAAACGAGGATATCACCTGTCAGGTTGATGTACGACTGACCCAGCTCCAGAGCTGTATGGCTCCATCTAGTTTTCTCACCTCCAAGGCCTCCAATCAACTGTTCAGCTCTTTCTAGTTTTTTGCTGCATAAGTCAACCTCAAAAATAAAAGTAAGTTTTTATTAACATCCATAAGTAGAATAAGTTTAAAATTTGGCCACATTTTACCATTAGAGATTTTTTTTAAAGAATTTCAAACTTTCACCTAGAAATTTGTAAAAAAAAATAAAAAAGATAATATGTGATCATTTCACTATTATAAAGTCCATCATATTTTAGAATTTTTTAAAAATAAATTAATATAATTTATGAAATTCATAATGGATATCTAGCATATAATGCAAATTATAACCAAGGAAATGACTTATAAGAGACTGAAAGTTAGTTAACTAATAAAGAACAGTCTGCAAATAAACATTTTTTCCCTCCATTTAAAAAAATCAGAAAAAAAGGGGGTGAGTGAATAGGGGTATAGCCAGTGGTAGAGCACTTGCCTAGCATTTATGTCCCTGGGTTGAATTCCCAGCACTGTAAAAAAATAAACAAACAAAAAAATCTGGATGCATTGTATTTCAAATATTCTCTAAACATTTTTCCTCACTTAACTTATGGTTGGTTTGATAATGATTTTAAAAGTTAAATGTTTAAAAACTTAACAATTTATGCTCATGTACAAAGCACAATCTTCAAGTTATATGGTGCTAACCAATATAATTAAACTTACATTAGGACATTAATTAATAGTTAACAGCCTACTTTGTGCATAAGACTATCAACCAAATTTGATTATACGTAATTACGGAATGTAATTTGAAGAACAAAGACAGGAGAGAGGGTACCTATGAAGGTGGCAAATGAGGAAAGGTTATTTCAAATCACACAGTAGCAATATTCCAGCAAAATACCTGAATTATTTTGATTTAATTTTGAGTGGGATAGTATCATTATTCTGGGATGAAGACAAAATTAAGTAAAGTTTATCTTGATATTCAAACTGAAATAATTTACATGAAAGAGGAATTCAAAATCAATAAAAGCAGAGACATTTTGGATTATTTTAAAAAAAGAATTTATCTTTTACTTTTCCTAATACTACTGTTTATGTTAAGTAAATGTTTTCAAATTAAAAGATACAAAATACCAAATATCAACTCATCCAAAGATAGGTTTGAAAAAAGCAAAAGGTATATAATAGGTAATATTTCTGATACTTCCAAATTTAAATTTTTTCTATTTGATTTTTTCCTCTTTAAGTATCTTTTGCCTTCCTCATTCATTCTTCTTTCAAAACAATACTAATAATAAACTGAATCAGACTTGGACGATAATAAAGTTATCATTAGAAACCAAATAAAGTCAGCTAAAACTTTTCTTCCAAAAGTAGATATTTACTATAAATATATATGTGCATTCATTTTACATTACCATAATTTTCTAACATTTTAGTATAAAAAAATTTCAGATATATAGCAGAGTTGAAAATGTTTACAGGGGGCAAGTACACCTATTTCTAATATCATTTAAACTACAACTGATTATCCAGCAATTATGCCCAATAGTACACCATATCTTACAGATTAGCATAATGTCCTATATTTGTGCAAATATACTTTGGAAGTACAGCAGATAGATTTCACAGAAAGAAGGAATCTGGTACTTCAGAAAGAGTGGAACCATTACAATCAGATTTCCTGGGTTTAGGTCTTAGACTTAATGCTTATAAGCTGGGCTGAACATGAGCAAATTATTTAACCTTTCTGTGCTTTAGTTGGTTTAAATAATGGCTTTTTAAAAAGGTTATCTCCTCAGAAAGTATTGTGAGAATAAATGAAATAATCTATAATGCTCTTAGAACAACAGGGCCTTGCAAGACACCAGGTGTAATATTTGCACCAGGAAAGAAGCACTGGGAATCAGTAGCAGGAGGTAGGACTTTCACACTTACACTCTTTGAAGGGTTTAAAATTTTATTGTCATTGTAATTTTTGAAATAAACGAATGTAATGATTAAAAAAGAACCAGCATGCCTGGTGCATAACAAACACTCGATAAATGCTGTTACAAAATATTTTTAACATCTATTGTGTTAGTCACTTTCTGTCACTGTAATTAAAATACCAAATAAGAACAAAGTACAGGAGGAATAAAATAAATAAACTTATTTTGGGCTCAGGGTTTCAGAGGTTCAGTCTACAGTCAGTAAACTCTATTGTTCTGGGCCCAAGGTGAGGCAGAGGAAAGCTACTCAGCTCATGGCATCTGGGAAGCAAAGAAAGAGGGGGAAGGAGCCACAGGGAAGATAAACACTTCCAAGGCATGCTCCCAGTGACCTACCTCCCCCAGCCAACACTCCATCTGTCTGCAGTTAGATCTTCAAATTACTAATTCATCACATGGATTAATCCACTGATGAGGTTACAGATCTCATAATCTAATTGATTCACCTCTCAAAATTCCTATATGAACACTGGAGCGTTGGGGGAGACGCCTCTTATACAAACCACTTTTTTTTTTCTGGAATATGATCAGACTTCAGCAATCAATTAGTGAAAATAATGTCACTATATAAATCATAGCTCTGGTTTTAGTCTTAAAAATTTTTCAGTAGACATCATGTGGATTTAGGAATTGAGTTCTAATTTCAGTTCTGCCATTAACTTTTTATACAATATAGGTCAGTTAATGCTTCATTTCTCCATTTCCTTATTTATAAGATCGAAAGTGATTTAAATAATCTAGCTCAATATTCTAGTAATCTAAGGCAGAGACTGGCATTTTTTGTTTGTTTGTTTGCAAAGGGCCAAAAAGTAAATATTTCAGCCTTTCAGAACTGTTATGGTTTGGATATGGAATGTCTCCTAAAAAGCTCATGTTTTGAAAGCATGGTCCCCAGTGCAGTGAGGTTCAGAGATGGGGCTTTTAGACAGTGACAAGACATGTTAATCTCATCAATGGATTAATTCATTTGATGGATTAATAATCTGAATGGAATACTGCATGATAACTGTAGGCAGGCGGGGCGTGGTTGAAGGAGGTAAGTCACTGGGGGCATGCCTTTGGGATTTGTTTGTTTTGGGCTCCTGGCTCGTTCTCTCTCTCTCTCTCTCTCTCTCTCTCTCTCTCTCTCTCTCTCTCTCTCTCTCCTTCCTAGTTGACATGAACTGAGCAACACTCCTCTGACAAATCCTTATACCATGATACTCTTGCTTTACCTCAGGCTAGAACAATGGAGTAGACCAACCATGGACAGAGACCTATGAAACCATGAGCCCCAAATAAACTTTTCCTCCTCTAAGTTGTTCTTGGCAAGTATTTATGTTACAGTGACAAAAAGCTGACTGCACAAGGGCCAAGAGGCAAAACTGAAGACTCATGTATTATGTAGGTACCTATATAACCATTTAATATGTAATCAGTTTTAAATGTCAAAACCACCACAAGCTTATGGGCCATACAAAAACAGGTCATGGGCAGACATGACCTGAGGATCACAGTGTGCCACCTTCTAACCAAGAAGAAAGTAGGATGAGCTCATCACATACTAGCATGAACACTCTTATTCACAACACTGTATATGCACTGCCCTATATATGTACTTAGCATTAGCACACACCTGGTTTTCCAAGTCAGCCTTCTTTTGTTTGTTTAACTCAAGTGTGTCTTGAAGCTTGGCCAGTTTGTCCTGGACTTCCTGAAGTGCTGCCTGCTTCTTTCTAAGACCATCCATGGCAATTTTAAGCTCCCCTTCAGCTGAAGCCAGTTTTATCTTTTTGGGAGCTACTATTTTTGCCACTCTGCAAAAGTAAAATTAGAAAATTAAGTATCCATTTAATATGACAGGGTACTTTCTACTTCTGAATTTACTTTTGTAAGATGCTTACTTTGACTCAAAACACTTCTTTATGCAAAATCTTTACTGATTCCATATTCCATATTTCATCTAAGAATCAGACTTAATCCCAGATATAAGATATGACTATTAAAATAGTAAATATTATAGTGTCTTTGAATAATTTTTAATTCAAAATAAAACCTTGTTAGGGTGCATTTTGGTGTTTTTGCAAGAGAATAGCATATTTATATAGAATACTGCAATATTTAACTAGCCAAATTGTTTAGAGCTTAATTCTGATGAGGAGAATTAATTCATCTTTGTCATTTTCCTTTTTAAAAAATAATCATAGAATATACACTCAACCCAACAGTTGTATTTTAAATACATGTATAGTAATGAAAGGAAAAAGTTTGGCTCTAAATTCTCTTCTCAGTGTCTAGTAAATGAAGCCAATCATGTTATCTTTATAAAAAAGTGATAAAAATTAAATCAAAATTTATTATTAATAATATATCATGGTATGAAACAGATTATATATATATATATATATATATATATATATATATATATATATATAACTATATATGAGATTCAAATTGGGTATGAATTTGAAAGGCATCCTATAATAGTTGATTGGAAAAACAATTTTTACTTATTTTGTGCATCATATAAATAGTTCTCTTATAATCATCAAAAACCTTCCCCATCTCACAACAATATATGTTATGCCAGTGGGTTTCAAAACATGGTCCATGACCTGTGGGGATCCTAAAGACATGTGTCTAACTAAACATCTGTGTGAAGCTGGATTTTCTTTACATATTTCAATCAGAACAACACATTGCAACATATTGGAAGAAGCAAAAGATTTGGGAGTCCAGCTGTCTTATATTAAACCATTTTTTCCCCCTTTCAGTACTGGATTTTGAACCCAGAGGCTCACACATGCTAAGCAAGTGTTCTACCACTGAGCTTCACCACCCCAGCCTTAAACCAAATATGAAAGAAATTTGCAAAAAAATAATAAAATACTACTCTCCTCACAACTGTGTTTTTTCCATTGTTGATAAAAATATGGATTTCTAACAAACAAAATAAGTTATATTACCTTATGTTTTATTATTATTTTTAATTTAATAAATAGATACATTTTGGATTCTCCATTTTAACTTCTAACATGGCAAATAAACATTTGTAAGTTTTCTATTGTCAAAATGGCCATAAATGAAAATGAAACAATTAGGTTTCTTTTGATCAGTACTCACTTATCATATGAATCCATTGCTATGACCCATTTGCACAGACCTTCTGCAGCTGTGGAAGCATTTCTAATTTTCTCTGGAACAAAATCTGGATTTGGAATATAACTTTTTCTTATGATATTCATATAAGCTGGAGGAATATTGTCCTTGTCATATTCATGAAGTGACTGTAGAAACCTAATGTCTCCAAGAAGTCTCTTAGCTGGTCCCCAGAAATCCTCAATTTTTTTTCCTGATCCTGTTGGGTCAGGAATTTTGTCAGCTTTGATGCCTTTCAGGATGCAGATAGCTTCCATAACAAGCTTGACGCCAGCAGGAGGACTCTTCATGGATTTTACCACTGTAATATCCTTGAAGTAACAACATTGCAATTATTAAAAAATAATGTTCCCTTGCACATTAATTGTAATTAATTCATGTCTTCAAACTAAGCCTTAAAATACAGAAACTCATTAGTTAGATAGAAGCTGTTTTAGTCAGCTTTTTCACTGCTATGACGAAAAGACCTGATCAGAACAATTTGAGCAAAGAAAAGTTTATTTGAGGGCTCACAGTTTCAGAGGTCTCCATCCATAGAAGGCAAGCTCCATTCCTCAAGGCTCAAAGTGAGACAGAACATCATGGCAGAAGAGTGTGGCAGAGGGAAGCAGAGAGAGAGAGACTCCACTCTTCAGATACAAAATATATACGCCATAGCCATGCCCCCAATTAACCATTTCCTCCAGCCACACTCCACCTGCCTCCAGATCTCACTCAGCTAATCCCATCAGGGATTGATTCACTGATTAGGTTAAGGCTATAATCCAGTCATTTCTCCTCTGAACCTTCATGCATTGTCTCACATGTGAACTTTTGGGGGACATCACAACTAAACTATAACAAAAGCAGTAGCAATTGGGCTGGGGATGTGGCTCAAGCGGTAGCGCGCTCGCCTGGCATGCGTGTGGCCCGGGTTCGATCCTCAGCACCACATACAAACAAAGATGTTTAGTCCGCCGAAAACTAAAAATAAATATTAAAAAAATTCTCTCTCTCTCTCTCTCTAAAAAAAAAAAAAAAAAAAAAAAAAAGTAGCAATAATGGAACTATGTCAAAAGGGTTGACAAGTTTGTCCCAGAAGAAAAGGATAGGAGGGTACCCTATCTGGCAGATTTATCAGATGAAATCTACTTCAAATACACTGAGGAGCGTCAGGAGAGACGGCCCAAACCTGTAATCCTAGCTACTCAGGGGATTGAGACAGAAGAATGGCAAGTTTAAAGTCAGTCTCAGCAATTTAGTAAGACCCTGACTCATAATAATAAAAAAAAAAAGATAAAAGGCCTGACAATGTAGTTTGATGGTAGAGCACCCAAGAGTTCAATCTCCAGAGCCCCAAACAAAAACAGAAACAAATGCAACAAAACAAAAAACCCACAAAGAGAGAATTGAATGTCACAGAGTTTTATAGCTTCTTAACAACTAGAAAAATAAGATATAGCTATTGTGATCATTAGCAAAACAGAGGAATTATACAAATTAAGGTGTCTCATCATACTTCTGAAGGTCTTCTGTAATGCTGCTATAAAAATGAAGAACTATATACATTTTTGTTCATTTTATACACACACACACACATTTTTTTCCTATGAGTATATGCTACAAACTAATGTATAATACTACATTTTACTCAATGGAATTAATGCATATATAACATAAATACTGTTTTAAAACTGGCTGTAATGACATTCTTTAATGCTAGCAAACATTTATATCATCATTTTGAATGGCTGCATAGCATTCCAAAGCAAGGGCATGCAACATATTAAGATGCTATTTTTTCTCTATTTTTATTACTTCAATTGACATGTTAATGATTTTATACCTTTTATGTTTAGAGTTTTTGAAACATAACAGCACAGAGCTCTCCAGAAAGTATATAAGGGTGTCAGTTTTGTTGGACATACCCTTGCCAGCACTAGGCAGGCATTCTGGTAGGCAAAATAAATCTTAATTTAATCTGTGTTTCCTTAAATATAAATGAAATAGGCTATGTTTTCATATGCTAATAGACTATTGTACTTTCTTTTTTGTAAATTACTTCGTTATAATATTCATTATTAGAGCTACTTTTTCTTCTTATTAGTTTTTAAGTTTTTTAAAAAAATATAGAAGCATATTAATCCTTTGTTTGCTATGTTTCAAATACTTACCCCAATGTTTCCAAAATTCTGTCTATGGTATATATATCAAACAAAATGTCTTGATTTTTAGGCACTGAAATTTATTACTTTATTATTTATAAAAATATAAAAGGAGCATTCAGAGAATATATATTACAGTCTACTTAGTGGAATTTTTTTTCCTGATTTTTATCATACTAGGGAAATCCCAGGTCCTAGGCAACCCTAGATTATAAACATCTGAACTATGCTTTCTTCTCTTCTAGTGTTTATAATAATAAAACTGTTAACATTTAAATATTTGTATGAAATCTGTTTTGGAGTAAGATGTGAAGAAAGCATAATATATTTTTCTCTCCTATTCCCAACTTTTAACCAAGATTTCCAAATAAGTCTACCTTTAATTTTCTAAAATGAAATACTCCCCTTTCACCACTTAATTTTTAATATAATTAATCAAATCTAAGACATGCTATTAAAAATAAATCATTACTAAAGACATTGTTATTTTATGTGTCACCAAAAAACTGTGGACAAACATTGGTACCATACTTCATCCTGTCTACTATGAGGCATATTCCAGTTACATACATGTCTAAAATGAAAAATGTGTGTATTGGATTTAAAATATATACGTGGGTCTTACGGCTGCTGTAGTGCAGAGCTCTTGTGTTGGGTGGGCACGCCATCTGGCAGCCTTTTTCCAAGTGCCGTTCCCATGGGTATCTTTTTTTCAGTGAACTAGGGAATACTTTTGCCAAATGAAAAAAGTTTTCGATTTCATGGAATTTGGAGACTAATTCTGAGAGACAAGATAGGTGATGGCACATGCTGCATCCCGTCTTCAGCTGTGTTCACATGGTTCCTAGAAAGCACAAGGCTAAATACTCACCTGTGCAGTAAGAGTGTCCAAGGCAGACAGTGCTGACTCCAATATTGGCAAGGCCCCTGCTAGATCGGCATCACACTCATCTTTGATGGCTTTGGCTGCCATGGCTTGCTCATTTGCTACTATTTCATCAGCTTTCACTATTTTTTCAGTTTTGGCAACTTCTACAGACTCTCTTTCAATAATAGCCATCATCTCATCAACTTCTTTGCTAGCAACTTTCAATTGCGGTTGCAACGCCTCCAACTCATATTGCATGGTGGCTACTTGAGCAGCAGCAGAGTCCAGTTTTTCCAAACCCACTTCATACCTCTTTTTCATTTTCATTACTTCACTGAAAACAAATAAATAAAACATGGTTGCTTGTGAGGATCTGTATCTGACAATGAAGAAAGCTTTCCAGGGTTTTTTTTTTTTTCCATGACAAACTAAAGGAGTGGTCTGAAAGATTTTCATATATATTAAGTTGTTAAAAAAAGTATGAACTGTAGAACACTAAATTGTGCACAATTAAGAGCAGATAGTAAGTCTTAGTCCCTTCTGTGGTTTTAGTATCTACACAGTATTTAGATGCATTACAAACTGAAAAGAAGAAACACACTGGATACAAGGCAAGGAGTCTCTATGTCAAAACCAATAATATAACTATAAAATTAATCACCTTGGTAAGTTGATAACACTCTTATTTCTTAAAAAATCTTTCTATAATCACTTATTTTAAATAGACATCAGTGCTCAAAACATATTTTGAATGTTGCCAGAGGTAAAAATGTTTTTCAAGATATATTACACATCTTGAAATAAGAATGCTTTATTAAGCCAGGAGCAGTGGCTCACACCTGTAATCCCAGCGGCTTGGGAAGCTGAGGCAGGAGGACTGTGAGTTCAAAGCCAGCCTCAGCAAAAGTGAGGCACTAAACAATTCAGTGAGACCCTGTCTTTAAATAAAACACACACACACACAAAATAGGGTGAGGATGTGGCTCTGTGGTCAGTTGCCCCTAAATTCAATCCCTGGTACCAAAAAAAAAAAAAATGCTTTATTAAGACAAAAGGGACAAATAAAATAATAAAGTTCAACACTTTTGGTACAAAATGATTATAAAGTAACAATAACTAATTAGAAATAATATCTAGTTTTGCTTTAAATTTTAACATTTTAATGTTCTTTGAAATTTTTATATGCATTCATATATGTTCTCTTTAGAAAGAAAACTCTCCTTTGTAATTTGTATCCTTTAAAAATACATGTCATAAGGTTTCAAAGTAGAAAGTGACACATTTTAGAAATCCTTTCCTAAAGTATTCTGGGGTAGGAAACCAGCCTGGGCTGGACTGAACAAACCAGACTGAGCAAACTGTCATAGGGAAAAACAAAACACAACAAAAACTAGAAGTGAAGGCATGCCACATTTTTGTCACACATTGAATTCCCCGAGGGAACAAACTATGACATTAACAGGAACTGAGGGGCTAGAGATTCAATACTATATTATTTGTCAGTCGAAGCTCTGTGCAGCAAGCACAGCAAAGTTCTTTTTCCTGCCAACATGAAGCGGCTTCACTATTGTACTTCATCTCATGTGACGCTAACCCACTGATTTCTCAGCAGGTGACCTGATAACTATTGTTTCTAGGTTTTATCTGGCATTAAGTGATCCGAAAGCTTTTGCTACTAAAGGAAGAGGAATTCCATAGGGCAGAAATTCTAGTTGGGATAAAGGAGAATTTAAATTTTTTTTTTTTTATTTGTAAGAACACTTGAAAGGGAAAAAACTGAAAGAGGATAATGTGAAAGTCAAATAGGAATATTTGAAAAATGTCTAGAAAACTATGATCCCATCTTCCCATCAGTTTGAATTCATTATTACAATCTTGCTTTCAATTAGCATGACCTTAAATATTATGAGTACACAATCAAAGCCTTGACCACATAAATAAATATTGTACTGCTGAGATATAGATTAAGATTCATATACTTAGGTAAAAGTCTCATAGATTTTATAGATAATGCTTAAATATTGAACTTAAGGCTCGCAATATGTATGAATTTAGCTTACTAGGTTTATAAATTATTTAAGTACCTAAAAAAGTTTGATTTGTCAATTAGAACTTAAGAGAAATGAAAATATATCAGAAGTACAAATGTGATGTAAAAAATCATTCAAATAAGTTTTTGAATGTCATGGAACATTAATTGGCCTGAAAAGAGACAACTAAGATTTTCTAAACTTCTTTCTTGCTTAATGTTTTTAAATTTTATAACATGCTGCACTATGTATTAATTTTTAGAACCAAAGAAACTTTTGAAAAACTTTTCTGAAAACCTACTTTGCTACTTCCCATAGCAAAAGTGTTGTTTTTTTAATGTTTATGTTGTTGTTTTCAAATGACTGTTTATTAGAAGGAAAGCTGGTCATGTGTACTAAGTGGCAGTTTCTAGGGTCTCAGCTGTTCACAACCCAAAGACAGTTTTTGTATTATCTAATTACTGATTAAAGAAAAATCATTCTCTAATGAAGTCTACTCAATATCATTGTCAAAGAATCCTGGAGTCTCACCCTATCCTTGAAGGGTACCTTCATTCTTTCAACAAACATGCTGTTGCTGTTATGTTTTGCAGTGTGTGAGGCAATTCCTCTGACTAAATGAATAAGATCTGCTTCCTACTCTCAAATTGTTTAAGGATTAAATCATTTGAATATTCAACAAAACAGTATACTTCTAAGAAACAGATCTCTATTATGTCATATTGTACACACAAATTATTTAAACCGCCATAGCTTACTCAGAAATATGAAATTTCATTTTTACCTTCTTTTCTTTTCTAACAGCAGCTTGAAGGTGGAGATTAATTCGAGGTAAGAGGTGGGAGTCACATAATTGTATCTCTGAAGTTCATCATAGAAGGATGTTGATAAGTTTACAGTAGAGGTGTGGAAGCTTTTACACATGTCGATACAGCCATCTCGTATTTCCTCTGACATTTCAATGTCTTCCAAGAACCGTGAGGCAACTGCCTGTAATGCATCTTCAGGCCATGACTAAATTTAAGGTAAATGCTTTAGCACTTTATCAAGGTTACTAACACGAGTCTGTTACTACTGTCCTTATAATTTATAGATGTTGGAGATAGAGAGGAATAGCATGAGGCATGGGGTGGGAAAGACACTTGTACAAGGAACTTGCTGCTGAACAGCAGTAGATAGTGCATGGAGCATTAACACTTTACAGTTTGCTCTGGGATTAAAGAAAATGTGCATGAGCACTGTAGTAGCAAGGAAAGGGAGAGTGTCTAAACTTACAGAATGTCTATTTCTGTGCACATTTTACTAGTATCTTATTTTATACTCCCAACAATTCTCTGAGGTAAATGTTATTATCCTTTTCTCAGGAGACAACAGAATCATATGAATAACTACCTCTTCAATTAGTCTTGGATAGCTTGTAGATATTTCAAAGTCAACAATCCAAAAACACGATTCCTTTCTCCCCTATCATAGTTGCGGTCTTCCCCAATTAATCGCCATTTACCAAGCTCCCTGAGCCAAAAATGAGAAGTTGTCTTGGATTTATTTCTTCTTCCTCAAATCAATATCTACTCCCTATGCAAGTTCTCCAGTTATCAATCTTAAAGTAGCTTCTAAATCCTTTTCCTTCTTCCTGTATCTATCACCACCTTCTCAACTCTCCATCATCACCTGCCTGGAATACTCCAGTACTACTATAGCTGCTTTCATTCCCTTCATAGTGGCCAGAAATATGTATTTGAAATATAAATCAGCTCATACTACACTGCCTTACAACCCTTTGAATTCCACTCAGCATATTTAGGATTAAATCTGTAATTAGATCGATCTCAAAATCATTATGTACATATATGAATATGGCATAATAAATCTCACTATTGTATATATCTATAATGTACCACTGAAAGAAAGAAGGAAGGAAAGAAAAACAAAAGCCAAACAAACTTTCAAATCTTTGCCTAATTTGGCCTTTTACACCTTCCTGACCTTAATTATGCCTCTTCCCTCTGTTACTCTGCTCCGGTCGTCCTGACTGCCTCTTGCCCTTCTTGTGCCTTTCACCTAGCCCCTGGCCTTTGCTAGCTTACTCTCTCTGCCCAGATCTTCTTGGTACTGGTATTTTTGTCTTTCAAGTTTCCTCTTAAAGGTCACCTATTCAGAAAACCTTCACTCCCTATATGCTGTCCTGCGTGATGGATTTTTTTCTAATTGATCTATAGCAAATAAACTAAAGGAAAGCAGAGGTGTTAATTATTAGCCTCCTCATCTCTAGCTTTTAGAATAAGACCCACTTCAAAACAAAGGTTTCATAAATATGTTTTGTATGATATACTTTTACCAGGAAATGGAAGTATAGAGACCAGTAAATTTTCCAACGTAACAAACGCTCATGTATTAAAACCCTTTTATATTCCACAAATTTCCTACTAGACATTCAGGGAATCCATTGTGATGCAATGTTCAAGCCAGAAAGAATTGAATTATTTTTCATATTGAACCAGTTAGTCTCCTTTTGCCATTCCCAGCCCCATTATCTGTTCTCTGCTTCTGTCTGCTCAGCTTTGTGCTTTTTGATACAGATATGTATTACCAAAAGTGTCTCTCTGGCCTTATTCCTTTTGACTTTGGCTGAGCTTGACTTTTCTAAGATGGTGTGAGGTGATACAGTAGCTGAATTCTAAATTTCTGGTTTCAGTTGGGCAGTCCTCCTTCCATGTACTTGCTCTGTCTGAGATCCAGTAATACTCTTCCCTGCTCTGCCTTTATTGACTTTTGGTACTGAAAATTGAACTCAAGGGCTCTACCACTGAACTATATCTCCTGCTCTTCTTATTTTGAGACAGAGTCTCACTAAATTGCCCAAGCTGGCCTTGAACTTGGGATCCCCCTGCCTCAGCCTCCCAAGTCACTGGGCAAGCCTCTCCCTTTTTATACCCAGTTATAGTAACAACTTCCTGCTGTTGTGCCATCACTTCCTATGTGCTCCAGCATCCCCTCTTGGCACCCTTAACCCTGCCCACATCTCTGTGTGCAGTCCCTTTATTAGCTTTCCTCAAATATGCCCTCCGTTTCCTGTCAGGACTCTGATACAAAAATTTATCCTAAAATTTCCCATAACATATTGAGATTAGTGACTATGCATATTCTTAAATATTTTTCTATTATGCTGATTTCTATGATTATAATTTTAGTTCCGTAAAATCCATTATAATTGATCATAAAATTCTGCTAAACTATATTTTTTGGGAGGAGTCTATGAAATAAGTCATGATGGTAATAGAGAGTGAACATTTCTAAAACTCTATATAAAATTTACATGGTAATACCTGAAACCAGTCAATGGTACAGCAGTTAACAAGAGCAGGGAACTTTCTAAGACGATTTCGAAATGCATCTCCGATAGGACTCATGGCAAGAACCACGTGCAGTTGGTTGCGGCAGCGATCAATAAACATATTGAAAAGAGCTATGGGGCTTCCATCAGTTTGCTTGGTTTTATCCCGTTGGCGATCCAACTGTCGCATCTTTTCACATATCTCTTGCTTCTCATCTAATGCAAAGAGATTTGGAACCTCCCCAGCATTCAGCAGATTATTAACATCCTCTAGAAATGACTCTTTTTTAATCTGAGTATCCGTAAATAGGAAGACACCCTGCATGTCACCTTCAGCACACTTCCTTAAAATCACTTTTAAATCTTCACGCCACTCATTGTTACCATAGCTCTTGGAGATTTCAACCTGGAAAAGTGAATAATCAGCCATGTGGGCAGCTAATCTGGTGACAGACTGCCTTCCACTCCCTCCAACTCCAACCAGAAGAGCATGGCTTCGAGGCTGCTTCAAGATCCTGGAAATTCTGCTGATGTGTTCTATGGCAAATCGGAATAAGACAAGATTCATGGTTTTTTTACTCATATTGTTGTATTCTTCTAGATGAGATTCCACTATCACTCGAAGGTGATCCACATTTGAAATTTCTCGGTAGTTGGTATCTTCCCTCTTGAGATCATGAAAATCACAAAACATTAAACTTCTTAAGTCATCTTCTTGCACCACTCCATCTTGATCAAAATCCAAACTTTGAAAAAGTTCATGAAAATCTTCATACATGTAGCTTTTCAAAATTTCTTGAATGTAGTTGATAAGCCAGCTTCTATCTGCATTATCCAGAAGGCGATCATAGTATACTCTAAGGACCTGTGTAATATTAAAGTGTAGCTTTAAATACTAATTTTTTGGTGGGCTTTTTTTTTTTTTTTAGTTTTCTTATTTCTGCAGTATCATTTATTGTAAAAATAAAAATGCTGACAAAATTTCTACAGGTTTTGCTAAAAGCATATCCAAATAAGCTAGACTGATTCATGCTTATTTTTTAAATAATAATTTTGACATAACAATTTGGACTAATAAATAGTCACATTTAGTTATCCATAAACGAAAGATTTGGAGGAGCTGATGTGGACTGTATAGATGCTAAGAGAATGAAGTCCTTGCAAAAATAGTTACTGCTTCTGCTGACCATCTCATATGGATCTCAGAACTGGGTGCTGGCATCCAAGTTTGCTACCTCCTTTCAATCAACATTTCCTTTTCCCAATACAGGTGACATTTTAAAAGTTATTGGTAAATCAATAAATATCATTTGCTTTGTTTTTAAGTACATTTTCTAGAAAAAGAAGAAAAATCTTGGGTGGAGAGGTAGTTATTTTGGACGCCTTTAATTATTTTTGTTTAAAGTCAGGGACTACAAGAAATAATCAGGTTTGCTACATATAATAACTATTTCGTCAAAGTGATATGAGTGTCCCAGGGTTACAATCTGTTTTGAACTGAATTGTATGCCCCTAAATACACATATCCAAGTCCTAGCCTTCAATGTGACTGCATTTGGAAATAGGATTTTTAAGTGGAGTAATTAAGGTTAAAGGAAATCATGAGGGTATGGCCCCAATATGGTAGAACTATAAGAAGTGAAAGAGACACCAGCGTGCTCTTTCACTTGCCTTCCCTGCCCCGTCTTTCTCATTAATACTGATGGCATTTTTATCTTGGACTTCTGGACTGTAGAATTGTGAGAAAATTAACAAAGTTGGTGGGCCGGTGGTATTTTTTTCACATCATCCCTAGCAAACTAGTACATATATGATATAAGCAATGCATATTGTTTGCCATCAGAACTTTGGGTCCTGACTGATCTGCTGCTTTGGATAAATCACTTAAATCATCTGTATCACTTCCTTACCTACAAAATGGAAATGGTAACACCTGATTCAGATATTTCATAGATTCGTGCCCAAAATAAAATGACAACATGTCACAATACAGAACTGAAATATGTGATTATTACAAAAACTCCTTTGGCATCAAATCATGGAGAACCATGATTTCAGTTTTTACTATTGTCAAATCAATAATTTAATAGCGTCATTCTTTTTAGTAAGGGTATCTGCACAGACAAATAATATGACTTAATGGTATGATTTAAACCTCTTCTAAACTCCAGCTGGCTCAAAAACTATTTCTTTGTGGAGCAATCTAATTTCCCAACATATGCCAACAGCCACTTTCTTGGACTGAGGTACTGAAGACTTCAGACAATATTCCCGTGGGAGGAAGAAACTAAATTAAACCAACCCTGCATATCAGGATCAAAGTCTGAGTATGACTTGAGAATATTATCATCAAGATGGCAATTTAGCAAGATCCTCAGGCAGGGTTTCTCAAAATGGTCAAAAAGTCTGCTTTGGAATCATCTGAGGTTCTTGCTAAATTGCAGATTCCAGGCCCTACATTGCACCTGCAGAATTTTAAACTTTGAAAATAGTGTCCAGAAATATCTTTTCTTCTTTTCCTTATAGATGGTGCAGAAATCCTAAGTATTCAACTCAAAAATAATTTTTTCAAATTCACATTCCCATATAGCCACAACCAAGATCAAGACACGGAACAATTCCAGTGTTTATCAGAATACCTCATGTTCATTCTGTCTTCTGCCTCCCTTTCCCAAAGGAATAATGGGTCTATCATCACTGCTCATGTTTTTAAAAATTGATATATAAAACTTTCTATTATAAATCTAGTTGTGAAGGATGTAATTTGTGGTATACTTATATTGTAATTTGTGCTTTGAAGTAATTTGTGTCAAAGTATTAATTGTAGAGTTAAAGAATAAAGCTATAATTTACATATCATAAAATTCACTCTTTTAAAGTTTACAATTCAATGGTCTTTAGAAAATTCAAAAAGTTATACACCTATCATCATTATCTAATTCCAAATTATTCATCACTCCCCAAAGAAATTTGGTACCCATTAGCAGATACTTTCTCATTACTTTCTTCTACAGTCCCTGGCAAAACACTAATATACTTACTGTCTCTATTAATCCACTTAGCCTGGTCATTTCATATAAATGGAAACATGTGATACGTGATCTTTTGTGCCTGACTTTTTCACTTAGCATAAGGTTTTTTAGTTTTATCTTTGGTATAGGATATAGCAGTCTTCTGTCTCGGATGGAACAAAGTTCTGTTGTATGTATACACAATATTGTATTTGCTCATCAACTAATGGATATTTGCATTGTTTCCACTTTGGGGCTATTATGAATAATTATGCTGATAAGATTCATGTAGAAGTTTTGTGTGGACATATATCAATTTTGAGGGTGGGGGGTTATATAGGCAAGAGTGTAATCACTGAGTCACATGGTAACTATGTTTAACCTTTCACAAATTACCAGTTTTCCATATGACATTCCCACCAGCAATGTATGAGCATTACAATTATTTCACATTCTTATCAATACAGGTTCTTCATTTTGATTATAGTCATCCTAGTGGGTATGAGAGGTACTTCACTGCAGTTCAGATTTCCTAATGACAATCATACTGAGTATCCTTTCATGTGTTTACTGATCATTTGTGTCTCATCTTAGGAGAAATATCTATTCAAATCCAAACCCTCTGACCACTTTTAAGTTGGATTATTTGTCCTTTTGTTCAGTTGTAATAGTTTCTTATGCATTCTGGATACTGAACACTTATCAGATATATGATTTTCAAGTATTTTTTCTTATTTTATATATTGTCTTTTCACTTCATTGATAGTGTTCTTTGGAGCATGAAAATTTTAAATTTTGATGAAATCCCTTTATCTCTTTTGTCTCATATTTTTGCAGAATATCTGTGTGTAACAAGCAAACCAGATAATATACTCACTAAAGTTTGAGAGCCATGGAGAAGTCAAAGGAAATAAGAGTAAGCAGAGTAAGCCAGTTTTATATTTTCAAAATCATTTCATGTAATCATACTCAGTCCTCCAGTGTACTGACAATGTCTGGAAAGCAAGACACTTACCAGAGTCTCTGATATATATTTGGCCCTGAAGGAATCTTTCTTGAGTCAACCGAAATAAAGCACAAATTAAGAGTGTTGAGTTTAGTCACTTCTTATGTTTTGAAATGCTGACAAGGTACCAAACACTGTTGTCAGCATTGCAGATAACTCAGTGAAAAAAAGAAATCTCTTTCCCATAGCGCTTTTATCCTCTCAGAAGGAGATAGACACTAAACATAATAAGTAAGTTATATAGTATGATAGAAGTTGATAAATGTTGGGAAACAAGGAAAATAAAATAGGATAGGAAAGACTGAACTGCGAGGGTGGGAGTGAAGTGTTAGGCTGTAGTATTGGATACGATGATCAGTGTAGAGCCCATGGAGGAGAAGAGATCCGATCAATGGCAGAGAGGGAACTACCCCAGAGGACCACTCTCAGGGTAAAAAGCATTCTAGGAAGAGTGAATAGCCAGAGTGTCTGTGAAGGGTGAATGGAGGTGGGAACAGGGGACAAATCTAAGAAGAAGAGGCACACATAGCCACTGGACTTTAATGCTGAATTCCTCCGAATGAAGTAGAGTGCTATTGTAATGTTTTAAGAAACTAAACTCATATTCTGAGATCTATATACCAAAATATGAAGTAGTCATTAAAAATTACATTGTTATAAACTTCATTAAATGCCCAAAGAATTCAACAGCCAGTGTCAAAACTCAATAATATGACATAAAAAGCAGTACAGAATCCGAAGAAGGCCAAAAGGTAATTATATCTACCACAAATATATAATAGCACATATGAACTACTCCCACCATTGGAAGAAAGCAATGACATGTAAAATCCCAAGTAACAAAATATGTTATGTATAGGAAGCCTACCTTCCTTCCTTTATATGCTCATTCACTGGTGTTTATTGAGTGTCTGTTATGTGCCAGACACTAGGAAAAGTAGTGAATAAATGAAAGTTGCTCTTCTCATAAAGTTTCTATTGTAACAGAGACAACTAGCAAGCAAAAAAATTTAGTACATGTCATGTGATGTTTAGGGTCATGAAGAAGAATAAAGCAAAGTAAGGAATAATGAAGCTATGGGGGATATATGGGTAAGATATAGGCCCCTTGGGAGCTAATCAGGTCATGGGGGCAGAGCTTTTGTAATGATTAATGTTCTATGAAGGATGAGCTCCCTACCCTGCCCTTCCACCATGTGAAGACACAGAGGGAAAGCACTATCTATGAACGAGGAGTCCCACAGGCCTTCCTCTGATACCACATTTGCCAGCCCACTGATACTGGACTTCCCAGCCTCCAGAAATGTGGGAAACAAATACCTAAGCCACCCAGTTTAAGGTTCTTTACTATAGTAGCCAAAACAAACTTAAGGGTCACTCCTTCAGTGAATTTAGTGTCACCTTCTTCTCTAGCTGCTCCTTCTCTCCAGTTTTCTGCATATTCTTACCACCCATAAAGCCCTCCAAACTGAGAGCCTGTACTTGCTGAGAGCCACAGCCGAGTCTGTATGGCCTCTGGCATTTTGCCAACAGTATTGATTGACAGGCAAGGCGTTAATATCCGCCTCTGCCGCTACTTTTGAGTTCTAGCGCTATTTTTGAGTTCTCGCGCTATTTTTAGTTCTCACGGGATTCCCCGGGAGTTCCCATTGGTTGGCGAAGTGCAGGAGGAGGGATTTCCCGGGGAGATATTTCCGGCGGGGAGTTCCTGCAGGAGCCTCGTGGCTTTCGGGAGGATTTCCCAGGAGCGTGTGTGAGGTTTTTTTCTTGCAGTAAAAAAATAAAGTCTGTTCTTGCTTCAGTGGCTCGTGATTTGTGCCCAGCCAGACTGCGGCGTGTACTCATGTCCCATGATGTAAGTTACAGTAAGTTATGACAAAAACCTATCAGAATCTCCACATCATCCTTTTCCAAAGTACATATTTAGGGACTTAGTGTGGCCAAAGTTCCAAGTAGAGTGGATCATCACTTGGATATATATTTCAATGTGTAAGGATTTAGGAATTCAATTTGTATAGTTGAAATGTCTAAGAAACTAAATTTTCAAGAACTTTTAAAACATATGAGTCTGTAGCATATGGTTTCACTATAGTGACATACCCCCATTTTCCTGGTTTCTTAGCTACATTATTAAAATTAAAATTATAGTATTTATATATTAAAAATGGGTTAGGGTTAGACATTTTTTTCTCCCATTTCCCATAGTTTTGCTTTAAAAAATCAAGCTATTGTTTTGATGTATAAATTTTGTATTCTCTTTCCTCCCTTCCTCTACTATTTGTTTTTTAAAATGCATAGATATACCTATTCCTGAGAACTTAGATACATTTTTATAGAGATACTCTCAAACTATGAGCTTTCAAAATAGATTGCTTTATGGTTATTTTTTCTCCTCATCTAGTAATTCTACAAATAAAAATGCAAATAAATACATACACTTCTTTAAAAAACAACTTCTTAAAAGGTGTTCCATCTCATAATTTCTTGAAATCAAATTAACAAGGATTGAATCATCTAAATGAGATTGACTCAATACCTACTTTGAAATATCCTATAAATCAACAGAAATTCCTAAAAATGGAAGACTAAGCATTTTAAAAATTATAAATATCTTAGTATTATTTTTTAATTATCTTGATCATTGGCCTTTGTAATGCCAAACAGCTAAATACATTTTCAACAATATTACCTGCTAATTTTTTTAACCTATTAGTTGGCACACTAAATTTTTGTCTCTTGTACAATCACATTTTAATAACATGGAGTTTTTACCTCATGAACCCAAAGACGTTTAATCACTCCTTCGGTTTCTGCTGTTTCTGGTCTCGACAAACAAACACCTTGAATGACACGGGAGAAATCACGAAGGTTGAACAAGTAGTGAGATTTAGCTGGAGTAGGCAAGAGATTCTTCATTGCTTCCTTATACAGAGTCATTGTGCCATTTACGATTTGTGTAGTCAAATCCAGAAATTCATCTGGAAATTTGTAACTTAAAGTTTTTTAAATGAAAAGAAAATATATTAGCAAATATAGAATTATGTTACATAAATGAGATTTAGCATGACCAACATCAAATTTCAATTAATTAAATCAATTTGATTCATTACACCTCCATTTTTTGTTATAAATAAGATTTTTACTTCTTTTAGGATTATTTTCCACTCCCTATTTTAGGTCTGAAGGAACCTTGTGAACTAAGCAGGATCAGTTTACTGGACTTAAACCTATTTAAGTAAGTGAACAGAAGAGCCAGCAAAGGCTATATGTAATCCCAAATCCAGTATGTACTAAATAAATGCTTTCTCTTACTCCTTGGCATTCTTAATTCCACGTAAATAGAATTCATAATGAACATTTATAAAATAGATATTTTCAGAGAAAATAAAAAGTAAAAAAAATTTGTATGAAAAATTAGTAGAGAAAATAAAAAGGACAAAGCACATGATAGGATTGAAAAAAAAACACAGTGAAAGAACAACCATTTGGAAAGATTAGCTATATTTAGTTTTTGGCTTGACAAAAAGCCAGCTGTCTCTTCTATCACCACTGGATAAAGCAAGGAATGACAATTTCCCCAGAATGGGCATTGGCAGGGAGCTGCAACTTCTATTGCCCAGGTGAAGCATGAATCCCAGCCATCTAGGTATCTCCACATCTAGGGAAGAACATTTCCCCAAGAGACAGTCTTCAAGGCTATAATTCTGAAGCTTGGACACAGATAGCCCTGCAAACTCAAGAGTTCTACCAAAGGATATCAAAGTCACAACATAAACCTGGTACCTCTTTCCAGCACTAATGGTATTCCATCATAAAATTTAAAATACAAAATCAAATGTGGACATACAGAGCAGAATGTTCTAAACCCTTTGTAATGTTTAATGTGAATTGTCAATTTGGTTGGATTAAGAGATGCCAAGGATTAAGAGGTTTATGGGTGTGTGTCAATGAGGGTGTGTCTAGGAATGGCTAGCATGTGTAATAGCCATTTGAAATGGAGACCCTCCCTAAGTGTGGGTAGCACTGACCAATAGGATAATGGCTTGAATGGAATAAAAGTTGAAAGAACAAGGAAGCAATAGCAGATGCAAGCTCAATTCTTCTTGAACAGGTTGTTGATTGCTGTTGGGATTTTCTGAGGCTATCAGACTCATGCTTCTTCACTCTTCCAAAGCAGACTTTGCCAATGATTCCCTAGAAGCCTTTAATCTCAATAGCACCATTGATCCCTCTTGTTCTGGGGCTTCAGACTCTTTGACTGTGCAACTATCGGTTCTTCTAGCTTTCCAGCTAGCAGATGGCCATTGTGGACTATCCAGCTTCTGGTTGTGTAAACCAATCTGAAGAACCCATCCACCTGCCTCCCCCTTCTTTTAAATTTTTTTTAGATGTTGATGGACTTTTACTTTTTTCATTTATTAGATGTGATGCTTAGAATTGAACCTAAGGCCTCACATATGCTAGGCTAGTGCTCTACCACTGAGCCACAACTCCAGCCCCATAAATCCCCTTTTTAAATTATATTTCCTGTTGACTCTGTTCCTTGAGAGAACCCTGACTAATACATCCTTTGCAGTATATTTCATACTGGGAGGGCAGGAGGAATGAAGGGGAGCAATTTTATCTGTTACCATTTCTGTGCCTAGGGATGCTTTCATGGAAACGTTTAAGAAGTATTTCTTACATTGATAGGTTTCTAAAAACTTTATATCTCTTAGTGGAAAAAACACTGAAACCTCAAATCACTTACCATATTTTCAAATGCCAGGTTAAGATTTTAGAAAAGATTGTAAACATGGATTTATCACTAAATTCATTGATTGTTACGATATTGAAATGTCTCATAAATCGAGGAGTTACTGGATTTCGGCCACCACCTAAATATTAAAAAGGATAACTTTTAACAATGTTACTAGAATAAACCAGAGTATTTTATCCAGTACTTTACAGTTTGAAATAACTTGAAAGATCACAAATTCACAGCACATAAAAAGTTAAAAGTAATGTTCATGAAACCATGACATCAAAACTAGTTTCCTATTAAACTTAAGATATTGTTTTTCTAGTTGAATTATTTGAATGAGCTCAACTAATTATATATAATCTTGGGTCAGATCTATGTTTACAAAGGAATTCACACCAACAGAAAGAGCCATTGGGCATGTTCTTCATGGTTCACAGTCCAAAGGAGTAAACTGTAAACAGTCTCATTACAATTCAATATTGGTATATTATACATTAATATAACCTTGAGAAATCTGACTGATTAAACTTTAAAAGGGTATTTACCATGTAGCTGAAATTCCATACAACCATGGCATATGGCCTAATTTTTCCCCTCCATCTAGAAATCAATTTCCCTAAGACTAGATTATATAGTACATGCAGCTACTTCGCTGCCTAATTGTATTTTTAAAAACTGGAGATTATCTCACATTCATAAAATAGTGATTACATTTTCAAATATGATGCTTTAATAAGTGACTTACATTTTCAAATATGATGCTTTAATAAGTGACTTAAATTTTAACAAACCATTTTTAAAAATTCTATCCTTTAAAAAATATATATGGCTGGGGTGTAACTCTGTGATAGAGCATATACTTATCCCGCAGGCTAAGGGTTTGATCCCTAGCACCACAAATAAAATTGATAAAATAGACATATTGCATTTTCTTTCTAAACATTTGGTAAAGAGGTGATTTTTTAGTGTATTATGTATGTATGTATGTGTTTTTGGTATTGGGGATTTAATCTGGATGCTTTACTACTGAACTATACACCCAGCCTGTTTTTATATTTTTAAAACTGTTTTAAATTTTGAGACAGATCTTACTAAGTTGCTCAGGGCTTCACTAAGTTGCTAAGGCTGGTCTTGAACTTGTGATCCTCCTGTCTCAACCTCTTGAGCACTTGGATTGCAGGCTTGCGCCACTGCACCTGGCTAAGAAGTGATTTTCAAAGCATATAATGTTTTTGTTTTAAGTGTACAGATACATATTTTATATTTGTTTAAGGCAAGATAAATCTACTTTGTGTCTTATCACCATGTTGTTTCTGAAAACACGCCTAATGTGTGAGACCATATACCTGTAACTGGGAATAATGGACCTATAAATCAAAACAGTTATATATGTCTATGAATTTATAGACATATTAAACTTACCTGGGAAAGTTTAAGGAGGTGGTTAAAGGATTGGAGAAGAAAATTGAGAGATCATTTTTACCCTAGCTTTGTTTCCAAACCTTTCTCCCAGAGAATATTCAGAAATGGTGTATTTTTTAGAGAATGGGGTCCCAGGGGAAGATACCTCATGGATTCCACCTACTGTTCTGTCCAGTGCCTGAGTAGGTAGGAAAATATAGCCATATGAGTACAAATGACTAGCTTGGGACAAAATAGAACAGAAGTCTGAGACCCAGGAGTCACATAGATTTTTATTTAGTTATTTTTAAAGTGTTCAAAGTGGCCCAGGGAGTTTTCGGAGAGCAGTTGCTGACTCAGAGCTAACAGTCCATGTTAAACATTTGATAGAGGTTAGGGTTAGGAGGAAAAATACCAGAGAGATTCCCTGAAATGGTATATTGAGAGAAGAAATTTTTAAAAAATAGAATACCAGCTTGAAGTCAGGAAAACAGTTAAAGATCTCTAGTTAGTTGAATCAAGCCATTTTAAACATTTTAGCATAATTTTTTCTCCCTACATAGAGATTCCTTTGAGTTTATAAATTTCTCTTGGATAATGTAAAGAATCTTTAAGGGTTAATTCTTTTGACCATTTCCTACTTAAATTTTCTTAGAGGCCTAAATCCAGAAAATTCTATCTTTAAATATAAAGATATATATATAGCTGGAGTGTAACTCTAAATCCAGAGACTGATGAGAATGGAACTTACATGGGGGTGGGAAAAGATGATGTAGGAAGCAGGGACATTCTACCCAGTTCAAGACTTAAGGGATGAAATAGAGGGAAGCAAGAGCTGCCCAAGGGGGATTCATCTGGGTTCTCAGAATGTAGGGATAGGAAATGGGAAGCCAAGTCCCAGAAATTAGGAGAGGAAGGGATTTAAAAGAGTTGGTGGGCAAATGGCCCAATCAAGACCTCTCACTTTATAGAAACAGTAATTATGGTACATACCATGAGGTCACAGAGGACACACATGGAAACATACACATAAAATACCGTAACTCATATTGTCCAACTCAATTTCTCTTTCTTTCTCCAGTTATGTCTTTATATATAGCCACAATGATTTTCTATCTTAATAATCACTTATTAGAATATATACCTGGAGGTCCCATAGCACACATGATCTGAATGTCCACTAGTTTAATCATAGAACAATCTTTTAAGTCATACCAATTCCAGTGGTCTAACCATTGCCTAAGTAACTCAATGGGAGGTTGAGCTCCATATACCTCCCGAGCAGGCATATTGACATCATCTACAAATACAATCTAGGAATGAAAAGAGAAGAGGTATTAGAAAAAAATGAATTAAGATAGCATCCTATTATGTAAACAAGTTGAGGTGAATTATTTTCATAGGTGAGAAGTGAAGCTTTCTTTCCGAAACAAGAATAATATTTTTAACTTTAATAGAATACAGAGATTATTTTTCCTTATTCCTTGTTCCTCTAAGACGAGGGAGACCTTCTCATTATTAATCTTTATAGGTTAGTAGTTTAGGATTTACTAATCTTCTCATATTTTTTGATTTACCATATACCTTGTCTTTTTTCCTAGTAGAAAAATTCATTAAAATAGATGAAAAAGGTGTGACTTTTAGATATAATCTTTAGTGGTGAGTGTTAGTATCACAAGGGTATTTCTTTGCAGATAAGTCAACTGGTAACTGAGTTGTTAAAGATCTAGAAAAGCAAGCAGCAAAGACCTGCTGAGTAACATTGTTAGTTAATGAATTAATAGTGTAAATAAATTCTCAAGTGTATGTTCTATTTTCAATTCAAAGTAATATTGTTTATTTATTTATTTTTAATTCTAATTTGTTATATATGACAACAGAATGCATTATAATTCATATTACATAGAGACAGCACAATTTTTCCTATCTCTGGTTGTACACAAAGTAGAGCACACCATTGGTGTCTTCATACACGTACTTACAGTAATGATGCCCATCTCATTCCACTATTTTTCCTATCCCCATGCCCCTTGCCTTCCCCTCCCTCCCCTTTGCTCTATCTAGAGTTCGTCTAATCCTCCCATGCTCCCCCCAACCTCAAAGGGATATTGTTTATTTTAAAAATCTAGATGTTTAGTGTACATACAAATACAACCAGTTTTAAGAAAATTTTAATTAAAAATTTGTGGTGAAAAACTAGGAAAGATGTCAGTCCTTAGTATATTTGGTTTCCTTGTTCTGATTGCAGACATGTACATAAGTAGGACTTATATTGTACTATGAGTATAAAAACAGAAAGCCATTACCATTCTCTTGCCCAAAGGAGGACCAAAAACTCCCTTTCTTCTTTTGTCCAATTTTGACATGATAATGTTCTGAGTTTGAGCTGCTGTAGTTTGTGCTGAGAAGTTAATTATCAGAGGTTTGTAGATTTCCTTATTAAGATGATTTAAAAGAAAATTCTACATAACAGGAAATAATAAAGTGAGCCAGAGTTGAAATTATATTTTGGCATTTCAGAATAAATACAAAGCATCATTGTTGACAGACTTGAATTTGAACCCTACCTGTCACAACAATGTAAAAAGAGATAAAGTCAAAAGGAATAAGTTACCATGTAAAAGGAGTGTCTCTATCTGTCCAGGTTCCTTGAATGTGTTTTCTGATTTCCACAACCACCATGAAGAGTACATGCTCCTCCTTAACATAAAGTCATAGGGACTCAGAGGTTAGGAAACTTGCCCCTGATCTCAGACATGGACAAGAATCCATCCTGCTGTTTTTCTCTCTCCGGACCAGTTTTCTTCTTAGAACTAGCATATTGTCTTTCTACTTATGTATTAAGTTATCTTTCTGTATATAGTTTCAAAATGGAATTTGCTAAAAAGCAGGTGGAATTGCAATGGTTCTTAATCAAGATGTATGACAGGGACAAGGAATACCAGAATTTCCTGACCAGCTCTTCAAAGTGTATTCACCTGTCCTTACCATTCCTAAACTCTCCTCTCAAGAGTTCTCTATAGGGCTACTCTCCCCAGGGCCAACTTATTAGAAAATCTTCATTAACTCACATCTTCTTAATGAGTACTACTATCTGCTACTTACTTTTATGAATAAGGAAGGGGAAAACGTGAGGTTGTTTTTTTTTTTTTTTTCACCTGTTCCAAAATTTATTTTAAGTGCTTCTAGCATTCAGCTTTATTGTATATGTTACTACATTATTAACCCAAAATCTCACATGGCAAAACATTTTAAGCATTTTCCCCCTTTCATAAACACAATTACATGCTAAACATGCCTTTAATTAAGCAAGTGAAAAATTTTGAAAGCACAATCAAAATCTTAACTTATTTATCATAGCAACACTTATATTTTAAAAAGGAATTGGTATGTTCCCATTAATAACTACATTCAGCACATACATGCCTGTCCCTGTCATGAGGTAGAGCAGATAAAAGAAAATGAGCAATACAGGAGGGTCAAGTGCTGATCAGAAATTGTAAAATTAGGGCTAACTTTTGTGGGGACAAGTACATGGAGTACTGCATACATGGCATATGTTAAAGTGTCTGAGTGCAATCCACTCCCCTGTGCTAGGTGTGTGAGCGGCAAACAGGTTACCCTGTAGGTACAGCCCTGGGCATGAGGCCATGTGTTGCAGTCCCTGCGCTTGCTCCATGGCCTGCTCCTTGATTGGTTGCTGCAAGGACAGTTGGCCAGAAATTGCATTGGTGGCTGCCTGTAATCTGCTTAGCTACTGCCTGACCATATATACATGGTAACTGCGCAATAAAATCAGACCTTCTTCCTGCCTGGTCTCCAGAGGTTTGAATAGAGACACCACATCCGGAGGTTTGAATAGGTCCACCCTATTCTGTGGACCTCCTTGTTGGACGAGAGAATGAGCCCCACGCAAACTTTCACTCATTTCAACCATCCAGCAGGAGCTACTTTTTATTTTTATTTAAAATTATTTTATTTTATATAAAATGAACACAGTCTAAAATGAAGGTTTTAAAGACCTTTGAATAGCTTGTTTTCCTATCTGTGATTGACCATTAGATTAGCAAAAAGTAGCAAGTGTGAAGTTTAGAATAAAAACAGGAGTAGGTATATTTTCATGATTTTATGATTAAAATGTCTTTCTTATGATTATATAATTAAAATGTAAATGAGAGATTATTTCAAGAGAAAAAAGGTTTGAAAACAAGTGATTTTTTTGTACTTTAAAATGACTATTCTGAGCAGCTACTATAATAAACTGATATTTTACATGTCAATTCACATTTTCCATATTTTTGGCCTAAAACTCTAAACAATTATTTTACTTTGTTTGCTCACATGGCATACAGTGCAAATATTTTTATTACAACAAAATTTTCAGCTAATAATGGCAGTCATAGTCATAACCAATATGTCTTTTCAGATGGAAGAAAGGATAGACAAATGGAACAAGACTGAACATGATGTTCAACACATGCATAAGTCAGGGCATAGTAAGTTTGGCAATGAGAACATTTAAAAGCAGAGGTAAGTCTAACTATCATAAATATGAATAGTAATACAAACAATCCAAATGTAATTATTATTTTAAAGTGACTAAAAGTTGAAGAATGAAATTAAGAAGAGCAAAACAGATTTTTAAAAATCTCAGTCTACTAGAAGACGATAAAGGAAACAGGGAGTAGGTAGCAGTATTGCAGCCTTATATAGCTAACTGGGTAGGGAAGGAAGTCAGGAGGAGAGCCCTGTCATTCATAGTATTGATAATTTTAAAACGGGATTTAGGGAAAAAGTTATATTTGAGAAAAAGACTTCAATTATTTACAATAGGTTTAAACAATACTGATAGAATTGTAAAGTTTATGTAACATCCTAAATCAATATGAAAAAAATAAATACGCCAAAATGCCAATGGATTAACATTTTCAAAAGAGTATAAAAAATGGAAAGAATACATAAAAATCACTCATTATCAAGAATTTATGTATCTGAGATCAGTTTGCCTTCTAATAGAAAAAAAAGACTCAAAGTAAGCATACAAATAAGAAATGCAGCAATATGTTGAATCTAAGTGATTCAGACAAGCTTAAAGTACAAAAAGAAAAAAAAAAGCAAAAATACACCATGTAAAAGAAAACTGTTGGAGCAGTGATTTGAACCATAGTATCTGATTCTCCTGTGGCAGGAGCTGTGTGCCTAGGATGGGAACTTCCTGTGCAAAGGTACAGATCAAGACTGTCCAATTGCTATGGTGACACCCTGCTTAAAGGATGTTCTGTGGTAGGCATGGCTCTATCAGTCTTGACCTTAAGTTTATAGACACCAGTTGCTAGAGGTAGAGAATTAAGAGCATAAAAATGATAATTATAATTGGCTTCCCAGTACTTTGTCCTTCAGCCTGCCTGTTTTGAAGAAACTTACTCACAGAAAACCCTTTTGATGATAAAATCTATATAATAAATGTGCTGAGTTAGCTCTGTGTCATTATACCTCTATCAGAGGGTAATGTCCCACTTGGTCTCAGCTTTCTCTCTATGGGTGTCTGTTTGTCTTTTCTAATCCCCGATATCCCCTCAATGGTTTCTGAATTAACAGCCATGCTGGTTGTAGCAGAAAGTAAAAAGAATCTAACCAAAGAGGACAATTAATATAGTATGGTCCTGTGTATTGATCATGTAAAAAATCAGACCATTATCAAAAGTTTTTTGTAATTCCCAAAAGTTGAGAGTCATTGACTAAAACATTTCTAAATAACTACATTTTTACCATTGTGCCATAAAAATTATATGGACAAAATTTATGTTTTTATAAGCTATCATTAGACAAGTCCTGCTTTTCAGTTTAAATATATCACTTACAATTGTTCCACATATAAAATTCCATTTAGCCCACTGAAAAAATGACTATTTTATGTTCATATATTAAACTGTTGAAACTAATTATATACCTATAAAACTATTTTTTCAATTTGAATATCAAATTATGTTAATTAAAATTATTCTATAAAATCTATGTAGCTATGTGAAAAGAAAAATACTCATTACAACAGAGCTGACCTGCAAATTAGAAATAATCATAATGAATACTAAATATTGTATTTGTTAGCAATTCTTTTAAGTTAACCATCAACAATGTGGATTATGTGAAATTATAGACTCCTTCCTGTCACAGGATTTTAAACTTCTTCAACATATTTGCTCATAATCAGTATCTTTAGTAAATGTCTTTCTTTGTTGTAGAGTGTCATAATTTATTACATTTTAATGTAATCTACAACTAAAATACTACTTATATTTCATTATTTAAAATCTAAATATCTAGATATACAATAATTTTAATGAAAATCACTGGAAACATTAAATTTTCTGCTTAATCACTTCAATAAGAAAAACTGTAAATACATACAAAATTTCATTAAGCATCTTATTTGTATAAATTTTCAATGAGGGCTGGGGATATAGCTCAGTTGGTAGAGTGCTTGCCTTGCATACACAAGGTCTTAGGTTCAATCCCCAGTACCACACACACACACACACACACACACAAAATTCAATGAAATTACTTTATAGAAAGGTATCTAGCATTGTCTTGAAATAATATTTTCTTTCACTGAAGAATAACTTTTTGAGCCCCCATCCTTATATGTGTATTATTTATAATATAATCAACTCTTAATTAATTGGAGCAATGGAATATTCTTTAGAGGGCATGAGAGACAATTTGAATTTGAATAACCTTTCTGAACAACTTTAACATTTGTTGAAAAATCAACAATTTCACTTCCAAGGATTAAAAAAAATTGTTTCTAAGCAAATGAGCAGAGATAAAAATAAAGATTTAGCTACAAAAATGTTCACTGCATTTTTTTAAGTGTAATACCCTAAATTAGGGACTTGGACAATTATCATAAAATTATAGAATCAAATACTATGATAGCCTTAAAATCACCTTGTAGCAGAACAAAATAGGAAAATGTCTATAGTATGTAAATAAGAAAGTAGGAAGATATTTGCAAGTAAAAAGAAAAATACAGATTACAAAATATGCTCCCAATTTTATGAAAAGTAACGTTTTTATATCTGGACAGTTTACTGTCTGAGCTGAGTTTGATGAGAGTACAAATGACAAAAAGCTGTATTTTCTTCTAACTACTTCCTTTAATCACATCAAGTTTCTATTCCATGCCTCTTGATATTTTGAATAAATCTCTCAGCTTTCTGTACATTTTTAGTTACTTTTTAAAAATATGGGGCCAAATCAACCCGTGGTTTAACTCTCAGTGAGAACTTCTCCCTGCCTCCCTCTTAGATATTCCCGTATGCATATAAACATGAACCTGAGATGGGAGAGGGACTAGGGGTAGCACCTTTCTCCTATTCCTCCTCAGATTGTGTTAAACCACTCAAATTTGGGGCATTATCTGTTTTAGCAACTGGAATCATCTTAACACAAAACAGAAATCATTCAGGAAAAAAAAATCAATCATTACTACATAGTAATCTTTCAGACATAAAGTAATTTAGAAAATTAAATAGCAAGTGTAATTAAAACATATTTTTCAAGGAATGCAGTTTTCATCCTGAACAAGCTCTAGTTATCAAAATGGGACATGGGACAATTTTTAGTGATATAAAATGGCATCAGCATCTTAGCATCTGATACCAGCAGCCCAACCACCAGAAGCAAAAAAGAAAAAAAAAGAAAAGAAAAAGAAAACCCACAGAATATTATATGTTGAATGAATTTTCTAAAAAGCCAATTACTCAAAAATTCTCTGTGGTTCAAACAAAATATTTGAGGAGTTTTAAAAATTTAAAAAAAAATTTTAAATTGTTTAAGCCTACTACTCTAAAAGTAGCATTCTTAAGACTATTATTTATATACCTTTAAATATGTAGATTTTAATAATACTTACAGTTATATAGACACTCTTTCCTGTTCCTGTTGGTCCTACAAATATTGAAGGCTTTTGATGAGTGGTCAACAAATCCATTAATGCAGAGTATCGAATAGTATCCACAGTTGGTACAATGATTTCATTAAACATCACATCTTTAGGAATTGGAGGAGCATCTTCTAATTTCTTTACCCATGACTCCCATCTCCCTATTCCCTGTTCATAATAAACAACTGAATAGTAAAAATTATATTACAAAATACTTTTTAAAACTCTGTACTTCCATGACAAACAAATCCTATTATTCAAATACTCATTTTATCCTTTAAAACACTTAACATTCAGTTTACAATTAAGTTGTATATACAAATTAAGGGGAAAAAAAGAAGTGGCAATTCTGTGATATTTTTAATGCCTTAAAATCACTGCTTACGCTAACCCAATGATCAATTATTATAGACAAACATCAGATTCTTTAATGGCATTGAGAAAATTCAACTAATCAATGCATTAAAAAATAAAGAATTTTATTCAATGTTAATAATTAAATAATTTTTGTTCCCTAGAAGATAAACTATATAATGCTTGTTTTTTAATAATGATAAAACATCAGCTTCACATTTCAGGCAAGATTTATTGTTATAAGAATTACAATTATAAAATAATATACTCAACATAATATACTTGGTTGTTTGTAAGTGTGCAGTTCAGTATTATTAACTATATTCATATTCTAGTGTACCAGATCTATAGAATGTTAGATTTGTGATTATTATGAATTAACACGCTGTATCTTTGTATCCAATTAGATTGTGAACTAAAGTTTTAACTTTCTATGACAGTATTTATAATAAAAAGTTTTGAGCTGGGTGCTTGCCTGTAATCCCAGCAGTTCAGGAGGCTGAGGCAAAAGGACTATGAGTTCAAAGCTAGCCTCAGGAATGGCAAGGTGCAAGCAACTCAGTGAGACCCTAAATAAATAAAATACAAATAGGGTTGGGGATGTGGCTCAGTAGTCAAGTGCTCCTGAGTTCAGTCCCTGGTACTCAAAAAAAAAAAAAAAGTTTCAAAAATATGTTATTTTTCCATACTAATGCCCCCTCCATTCTTTTTTCTTTTTGGTGGTACTGGGGATGGAACCCAGTACCTTGCACATGCTAGGTAAGCACCCTACCATTGAGCTACATCCCTTTCTACATTCTTTTTTTTTTTTTTTGGAGGGTATTTAGGATTGAACCCATAGGAACTTAATCACTGAGCCACATGCCCAGCTCTTTTTATTTTACGATGCAGTCTTACTAAGTTGCTTAGGGCCTCACTGAGTTGCTAAGACTGGCTTTAAATTTGAGATCCTCCTGCCTAAGCATCCCAAGTTGCTGGGATCACAGGCATGTGCTACTGTGCTGGGCCCTTTCTCCATTCTTAATATGAAAAAAAAATCTCAATTTCTAGTCATTAAAAGCACATAAGAATTCAGACCATCCTTTCTCTACATCATCAAATATCCTACAACAAGACTTCCTTAATGGGCCTGCTAGTCCCACACGTGCCCCCACCACTGGGCTTTCACATAGGGCATTCCTCCAGCCTAGAATGTGACACGTCTCCCTTCCAAAGAGTTATGAACTACTGAGGGCAGAATTGTGCATTATTTTCTGGCACAAAGCTGTGTATCAAGGCACCAAATTCATATCAGTCTGAAAACTGTATTGCAATTGCTTCTAGAATTGATAAATAATGCCTTTCCCGTATTTTAGATAACCTTTTCAAACGTGTGTTTTGACACCAAATGGTAAAGGAAGACTTAAGAATTAGAAAACTCAGACAACATAGTCAATTAGCAATTACGTGATCCTGGAATAATGACTTAAGATCTCTGAACCTCAGTTCCCTCATTGGTAGAACTTTCAAAATAATCCCATTCTTCCTATTTTACCATGGTGCTAGAAAACAATATAGAAAAAAAATGAGGAAAGCATAAAAAACTGTCAAGTACCCTGAAAATGGACATTATTAGTAACTTGAAATAAATTCAGTAAAAAAGATAGTATCTGTGCTGAACAGGGTGAAGAATTACTTCGGAGGTGAGCAGGGCAATACATTTCAAAAGCCATAAAATTCAAATGCCTTTTCTAGAAATTCATCTTAAGGAAATAATCAGATGTAAACCATGACTTTATCAAAAAATGTTCAACAAAGCAGTACTTATAAAAGACACTAAAAACAAGAAAAACAGCCCAATGGCCAAAGAATTGGAATAGATGGAGGTCCGTTCATTGGTGGACTGCAGGGTGGTTTTAGAAAGAAGTTCACTGGAGAAATGTTATTGAGAGGACAAGGTGTTTTCCTTATTAAATAGAAAAGAAAACTGTGTGATTTCAATTTTACTTAAATGTGTATATATTTAATATATACATTTTAAATACTAAACTTTGTCCTCAGCACAGTATTTGTGGGAGTTTTACTACCCAAGTTTTATTGCGTAGTTCATTTGGGTAGTGTTAAATTTACATTTAACCAGCCGCATTCTTACAGGGCTTAGTGCCTGTAATATTCTAACACACATGAATCTCTAAGAGGTGTCCTTGAATAGTAAGTGTCTGGTGCAGGGTTAGATAATCATAATGCATATTTCTATTTAACGAGTACCACTGACCCATCAAGTGTTATTATTATCACCTTTAATCATTGGGAATAACTACATTCAAGAAAATTAACTATCCCAAGGCTACACAGAAAGAAAGTGACTTTATTAGGACTCAAACCCAGATATGCTTGACTTCAGAGCCAGCATAGCTTCCTCTTCTCCACACTGTGAGAGTAAACAGAGAGGAAGAAATGGCCTAGAGTCATTATATGCTGTGTCTCAACGGAGACATGGCCAGATTGGCAATTGCAAATCTTGCTTCAAAACTCTTACCTCGGTGATAAATCGGTAATCATAAATTGTTTCTTTTTCAGGAAATGGGACAGTTAGTGCCTTGGAGGAAGTTTGTTCAATACCACTCAGTAATTTAAACTTAGTTTGAGTTAGCTCTGAAATTGGACCTTGCATTAGTTCTCGAAGAATATTATCAAATTTCAACCGATCATTATCCGAACAAGAAGCACCAACAGACCAGATCAATGAAAACAGAAAAATTCCCTGCATTGGAAAGAAAGAAGACAAAGTGCAATTAAAGAGTAACTTCAATGTATCCTTGTAGTCAGGTTAATATCTCTGAGAGGAGATCCATGAGGTGATTAAAAATAGCAGGTCATCTAAGGATGTTGTAGTAAGTGGGCTTTTTCTTACTGCATGTCTTATAATTCTTATACATAATACAATGCAAAGTACAAATTTTAGCCATAATGAAACCTACTCACCTGCCCCTGGTGTATGCACAGATTGTTTCTCTTGGAAAACTATCCTTCAATTAAAATTTATTTCAAACATATAAGCTATCATGAGTCTTGTTATTTAGGAAGTTTGGAGAAAGCTGAAGATATTTTTCTATTGCCAGATCTTACCTCAAGCAAAGAGTAAGTTTCTCTATCATTTCTACTTTTTACTTTGGCTTCATCAGCAAAATCACCCATGAAACAGTCTATTAGATTCATTAAGGATCTGACCAAGTTTGCATCTGAAGTAGGAGATAATTCCTGAAAAGTCAGAAAAAGGAGTCTTTCAAACAATTAAAACCAGATAAAATAGCATTGGCTAATTTTTATTGAATTTATTTAATTCTAACAGCCATAGTACTATTATAACCTTTGTCTTATGATTGGAAATTGAGGCACACACTAATTCGTGCCTACAGGAGAGTGTGGCAGCGGAAAATCTCACCTTTAGGTAGTTAGTGCTTTTTAACCTCTCTTACATCAGTTCTCATATTTAAAGATATGTACTGGTACCTGTTTAATTACTTTAAATCAAAGACAGATTTTATGCTTTATTAATTTTTTAAGTCAGATGCTAAAAAGTATCTATATTGATAGATTGATTTCTATATCTGCAATGTTAAATAAATAAAAGATTTATTGATTTCTATATCTGCAATGATTTCTATATCTGCAATGTTAAATAAATAAAGGCAATTGATTTCTATATCTGCAATGTTAAATAAATAAAACCAACTTTGGAATATATTTATAAGTCACAACAGTAGTTAAGTAAACTCAACCATATGAAATTCATTTTCAAATCTCAGAGTCTACAAAAACTCTGCTGGAGTGCCATAAATGCCATGCATATTACTGTTTGGTAGCTCACCAGGACAATTTATAGTAATTGCAATAACACGCACAGCTCCTAGAACCATTTGGTGTACAGCAAGTTCTCAATAAATATTTGTTGGCTTCCCTCCCAATTCTCTTCCGGCCTTTAGAGTTGCATTACTTTATGGTTAACATAAAAAATTCTCTGAAATCGGCTCTTTGAAGATTAGAAGCTGTTGGCTTCCTATTCGGCAGAGATGGTGGCTGAATCTCTGGCTAAAGATGGGACTGTTAACTAATGCAACAATAAAATTATAGTTATATATTACTACATATTAATACCAAGTAAATAATGGGCATTCATAATTCCAGTTTCACTTATTTGTAATATCTGAATACTCTGGCAGCACTAGGGAAAAAAAGTCCTGCTACTTGTTTTATTGTGACCCTCAATGCAAACATGGTTAGATATTTTTGTAACATAATTACATCATATCTCCAATATTTTGTATATAGCCAAACTTATGGCCCAAAGCAGACTACACCCATTTTGTAGCCACATTTATCTTCTAGGTTCTACTCTAAACTGCCCTGTCTCTCCCTACCCTCATGGACTCTTGCCAAGTGTCCTCCACGTTCTCAATCTCCAAACCAAAAGACACGAGTCCCTATCCTACCTTCACTGGCTTCCTAGTAGTACCTCACAGTACTGACTACCTCCTTCCTAAATTGTTCTTCTCTCTTCCCTCTCTTTGTCTAAGTCACTTGTGCACCTCAGATTCTATCTTTTGCTTTCTTCTATTTCCTTCCTAGATTTTCCCTTTAGGTAAAATGGCTTTAAACTCCCGTCTACAAATCTGTACATTGAGCCCAACTTCTGCCTGCTGAGGTTTTTTATTATCTCTCCCAATGGCAGAAGAAACATCAGCCTGATTTTCTCTTAAAATTGGGAGCCATCTCGCCACAAAGCCATGAAAATAGAATTTTGGCTTTACTACAAATGACTGCAAATTCTGAACTTGCTTGGAATGCCTGCCCGTGCCTTGAACTCACCCATGCCTGGCTTTCCCTGACAGATAGCAGCCCTCTCTAAAACTTTAGTGACACCTCATAAATCTTGGCCTTCCCTGGCCAGATAATGACCCTCTCTGAGGCTCTAATGACCTTCATAAATTCTGATGTCGGGGCCAGCAAAATGTAAACTAGCCTTTGTGTTATGCTCATCAGAGTTTTGTTGTCTGTAACCCACCTGTGTAACTTTCTGGGCTATAAAGTTGGGCTGCAAGAAAGATGCAGTGCTGTCTTGTTCCCTCAGTTTTTGGTGGGAGAGGCAGCCTGGCCGGTTGAAATAATAAGCTTGCTTTAATTTGATTTTAATTGGAGTCAGTGGTCTTTTCTTTTGTCCTGGTCTAAAAAGCCCTATTTTCCTATATTTGTTACAGAGCCAAAGTTTTTCTAAAAGACTTTTGATTAATAACTCCCATGATCAATAACTCTCAAAGCAGAAAGTAAGCATAATTTATAATTTCCAACAGGAGAGAGTTTGGGAGCCTAGATGGTGCTACAACCCTTAGGCAGCAGATTCCCTTCCTCTTTGTCCTTTTTCTCCCATCTGCTCTTTCTCCCTTCCCACCCTTCCCGTTAGGGTATACTGAAGGAAAAAAAAAATGGATTCACCCACTTTAGGACCTCTTTACAATCCTTCCACCAGGAATTGGCTTATTTTGAGAAGTTTTGAAAATAAAGTTTATAAAAGTGGAAATTGTACAACATCCAATCAGAAATAAGAGAGAACATTTTGGACTCTTTTTATCCAGACAGGTTTATGTGAACCTTTGAGGTTGTTGTTTTTTTGTTTTGTTTTTTAAAAAAAGAAAAGACAAGCATCAATTATACTGTCTTGAATCTAAGATGGTTTCATTTAAAATGGTTTTGAAGAATAGTTAAGTGTTAAAGTTTTTTTAATTTTGATCATAAAAATGGTTTAGTCAAACTAGTTAAGATATATTTTTTATCAACTGGTTAATAACCCATTAAAATTGAAATATTAGAGTGGTTTTTACTTTAAAAAATTGAGTATGATTTTAGTCATGTTTTTGGCTCCTTTGCACATCAACTACATAATTATGACATATGTAGAAAATAATAATTCATTAACTCCTGAAAGTGATTATGTAAAATAATGATCATACTTGAAATAAATGTTTGTTTAACATGTCCTCCTCTTGCTAGGTCATAAGCTCCATAAGGGCATTTTGTCTTCTTAATAGTTGTATGTAACATAGTATTTGTCACTTGATTATTTTCTCAGTAAATATAATTGTATTACCAAGATTTTTTTAAAAATTGAAATATTTAACTAACACGAATTTTCTATTTACTTTTTAATTTTAAAATTCCCATTTTCTTACCTTTGTATGCTTTCTAATAAATTCAACAGAAATAGGTACCATTCTGTCAAATAAGCCTGTTATAAATTCCTTCTCAATAGGACTGACTGTCTCAGGTAAAAGATTCAGCCAAGACAACATCAATGGTCTCCAACCTAGTATGTGAGGCTCCATGTAAATCATACCACATCTGGAAACCTGGAAAAATAAATTGTTTACCATCAAGGCAATGCTTACTAAAGAAATATCATTACCATGTACAGGTATGCTGTGGTATGACAGAAGCCAATTAGTTGAGAGGCAAAGTGGTTAAAGACAAAGAACTTTAAGATAAGCTAGCAGGTTAGGAGATGACACACACAAAATCATCAGGGGAGGCTGATTTAGGTGCAATTGACATAGGAGACGGGTAATCACAAACAGGTAAGCACTTTCTCACACATGCAGGTTTTCTTGGCTCATTGTTTCCTCAGGTTGTTCTTATCACTCATTATTTTGCCCCAAGCAATTCCTGACATATTATACAATGGACCAGCTAAAGGGGTAGCTGCTCTTGCTGATCACCAAACTCATGGCAATCAAAGAAAACATACTTCACCTGATTACTGTGTAAGACAAAGGTCAGGTGAGTTTAACCAGGGATCCCAGCATGAAATCTGGTCTCCAGGTATGGCTTCTATAAGTTGTTCATCTGTTTCTTTAACATTCAGAAAGTCTTGGGGGGAATAGGGGCTTATTTTTATTTTTTATAATTCATGATCTTAATTTTCATGTATAATTTACCAAATGATTTCCAACAAAAGAGGAAAACATCTTAACCATTACATTTGTCAAGGTATGTCAACAAATATGACTATTTTTTTGAGTATCAGAGATCAAAGCCAGGTAAGGTAGCACAGGCCTACAATCACAGCTACTCGGGGGACTGATGTATGAGGATTCCAAGTTCAAAGTCAGACTGGGAAACTTAGAAAGACTCTGTCTCAAAATAAAATTTTAAAAAGGGCTGGGATGTAGCTCTCCGTGGTAGAATACTTGCCTAGCATATATGAGGCCTTGGGACAACCCCAGGACTGAGGGCAAAAAAGAATTACAGATCACTCTTAGAATAAATTCTAATATCTTTCATTTAAAGTCAAAGCTACTACATAAACAAAACATAACATTTTGCAACTTATAAGCAGATTTGAAAATTGAGAACTTACAGTGGCAGGAGAAGCAACTTCTAAATCCATGGGTTCAAAAATAAGATTCATTTGTGGTGACATTTGAATAATCTCCCCACTCATCAGACATAACTTTTTGTTGTCATCCAGCACAGTGTTCATATTCTCAATCCATACTGCATCTACTGGTCCATCAAAAATTAACCATTTTCTATCTGGAGTCTATTGTATATACATAGGGAATAAAAGGCAAAAATTTAATAAAGGAATAATTCAATAATGCTACTTCAAATTTCAAAAATAAAACTCAAAGAATTAATTTTACCCTGAAAATATAAAGGTGCCCTTTGAAAAGTGCACAATGTGTGTGTGTGTGTGTGTGTGTGTATTCTATACATACATAAATGAAGAAGCCTATGTCATGAACAACACAGGAATATAACATTTTTTCATAAGATTCAATCTCTTCAATGTTTCTGAACTCAAACACATACATACACATATAAAAATATTTAAACACATATATGTATATATGCCTTAGAAAATATTAGAAGAAAAAAATGTACTTGCCAGGGAAAACAGAATTTTCATTCAGATATGTCAGTTCTTAGAAACTTACAGATTGCTTTTGCTTTTAGCATGAATTCTACTAACATAACTTCATATAGACTAATTACTTTTGTTGCTAAGCCAAACTTTTTTCTCTCTCTCTTGAATGAATTCAGACATATACACATATATCCAAAAGCCTCTTGAGGTAAACTTTCTCATATAGGATAAGGTATTAAAATCAATATAACATTCAAAGTCCAACAGTCATTTAATAAATATAAAAATATTGATACATTGTCCAGAATATAATAAATGCTCAATAAATATGAAAGAGTATCCAGGCATTAGCTAGAGAGTGCAAAGACAGATTCTCCTTCCCAGATTCTATAATGCTGCCTCTTGGTATATGCACATGATGTCTTGGTTTGCCTTCAGCAAATGCTGAGTTCAAGTTGAAGTGATGAAGGATTTGAGTCTATCCTGACACATTCTCAGACCCTGTGGCTAACTCATTAATCTAATGGATTAATGGACAATGGATGTTTCTCAGGCTCAAACTCAAATACCCATACTCAAAGGTTAGTTCTGGCCGTGTCCCAGGATGGAAGCAAAAGTCAATAACGTACCTTGAAATAAAATTTCTCTTGAGCTGTGGGTTTCCCATGCCTGTTAACTCTCAGTCTGGGAAACTTCCCCTTGAGCTTCACACTATCTGAAAGACTTTGCTTTTTATTTGATTCTTCTTCTTAGAAGCTGTGTAACTTTGGGTAAACTACTTAAGCTTGCTGAAACTCAATATATATGGGACATAGCTTCCTGAAAAATGCAATGTAACTGAATCGAGATAGCTCATGACTATTTCTGTTTAAAGAATGTAATTGCATACATTACTTAGAGACTCCACATGCTATTCTGGGCCAGAGGGTGTACCCCATGGCAAGAGAGGACCTACAAAGTGACATCAATGATCTTAGACCACTGCCTGCTACACCTGTGCTTCATGATCACTTTTATCTTTGAAATTACTAGGAAAGCTTAATACTGAGGAGGATCTCTGCCTCAGGACATTCAATCCTTATGCTACTCAAGGTCCAAGGTCTTTCTGCCAAAAGGGCAGAGCTGAGATTTCTGTTATTACACCCATTTGTGAGGCATGCATAATTCACCAGATCATTGTATGGTAAAAAGCACCAAATTTAGCACATATGATAGAGTAAAGAAAACAATGACTTGGTAAATAAATAGATGTCCCTAGTCTAGATTCCTTTTTCTTTACCACCAGCCTTAGCAAGCTGTGCTCATATAATTACACTCTATAGATAACCTGCTAAAATCTAGCAACCAAGTTAACACTTACTGGTCTGTGGACTTTTCTAGATGGGTCATCTAGCTTGTGAAAGAGAATTACAAATACCTTGACTCTGTGTTTTTCTCCTGCCTTCTCTAACACCTCAGGACAAAGGCATTGGCATTTTTTGCAGATGCTGACACTGTTCTTCACAGGAACACTGAGACCATATAGCAATGTATCTTAAATAAATATCTAAGTATCTTAAGCTAGAAATGAAACTGTCTGAAATAACTGGAAAAAAATCAGAAATTAGTCAGAAGAAGATATTATGGCCTTTAAAAAATATGCATACAAAAGTGTTAGTACTTACAGGTGAAGCAGCAAATGCTCTGAAACTGACAGCAAGGATTCCATCAGACCACTCATGGGACACTAAATCAAACTGTCCATACAGCTGACCCATGGTGACAGATTTAGGATTTAAAACAGTAATTTGAACCTTGTTTTCTTCCATTAGCCCCTTAATACAAAAAAATCAATATTTATTTATTTTGAAGAATACTGTCTTAATCATAGAAAAATTCTAAGAAATCTACAAATAAACTTACCAGAGGTGAGGAGTAAATTTAACAAGGCTTTAGTAAACAAGGTCAAGGTATAAAAATCAATTATATTATCTTTATAATGGCAATGAACTATTGAAATATAAAAATTTTAAGTCCCATTTGTAATAGTATTTAAAAGTTCAAAAATACACAGAAGGAAATTAGTAAATGTTGTACAAGATCTAAAACTACAAAACAGGTGTTAGTTGGTAATTTTTTTTGTAAAAGAGTTACATAATAAATATTACAGGCTTTCCAGGTTTCATATTTTCTTTTTATTTTTTTTGTGTGTCTTAATAGATTAAAAAAAAACATTAACACCACTCCAAGTTTATTGACATTACAAAAACAAGCTTAGGGCAGAATTTAGCTCCTGGATTGTAAGTTGCTGACTCTTACTACAAAGAGAAACTCTCTTGTTGTCTGAGAAAAAATAAAAAGATGTATAGATACAGAAATATGTACTTCTTGTGGTGTGTAAAACTTTCTCTTTTTATTAACATCTTACATTGGTGTGGTCCAGTGTTAAAATTCATGAATTTATATTTACACATTATTATTTTTATTAATCCCATTTTTTAAATTTTTTGTTTTAATTACTTATACACAACAGTAGTATTCTACACATTATTAACTAATGTCTTTAATTTTAAGATTTATTCTTTGTGTTGTATAATTCTATGGGTTTTAATATAACCATAATGTCTTATAGCCACCATTATAGTATTATATAGAATAATTTCACTATCCTAAAATTCCCTGTGCTCCACTTATTTACAATAATTTTTTATATATGAAACAACATGGCAAGTTAAGTTTTATCCAATACAGCCAGAAGTTGGGACACAAACTACCAAATTTTGTGGAAACTACCAAGAAGATGCAGACCCACTAATCTTAAATGAGAGAACAAGCTCAAGTTCTTTGCTTTTTCCTCTGTACCCAGGAATTGTTTAACAATGTAACTTCCTAAATTCAGAACTATTTGAAAGCTCTATAATCTTCTTATTTTAAATTAACATGTATTAACTATACAAATCAATGGGTTTCACTATGATATTTCCATACACAAGTATATTGTGCTTTGATCATGTCCACCCTTCTTTATACCTTTTTAATAGCACTATCTACAGTAGCCAAAATATGGAGTCAGCCTATGTGCTCATCAATAGATCAATGGTTAAAGAAAATATATTATATGTATGTGTATATATATATATATATATATATATATATAAAATGTGGTATTAGCTATGAAGAAGTAAATTATGTCATTTGCAGGAAAATGGATGGAAATGGAGGATATCATGTTAAGCAAAATAAGCCAGACACAGAAAGACAAGTGTGCCATGTTTTCTTTCATATGTGGAAACAAACAGACAAAAGACCTGAATGTAAAAGAGAGATATTATTAGGGAAGGGAACTGGAGGAGAGGGGGAAAGACGGGGCTAAAAAGGTTAGAAGAAAAGGTAGACATGATCAAAGCCATTGTATATGCATGTATGAAAATGTCACAATGAAATCCATTAAGTTGTACATTAATTTACATTATTCATTACAATAATAAAAATCTGAAAAATAGGAATTTTGTATGCACAAGTGTGTATGTCATATATATACACACATATATACTCCCTTTGTTAAATTAATTTCACCAGCAGCCCTATCAGAAGTTTTCATTACAAATCTAACTTTCTAGAAAATAAAAATTATCTTAAAATAATTAAAGGAAAACCTAAATATTTTTCTGTTTTTTAGACTCTTTTCTACAAATAACATGTATTATCTTACAATTAAAAAACAAACAAAAGTTTAAAAGGCAATTTTGTGGGGCTGGGGCTGGGGCTCAGAGGTAGTGCACTTGCTTGGCATGGGTGAGGCATTGGGTTCGATTCTCAGCACCACATATTAATCAATAAAATAAAGGTCTGTCGACAACTAAAAAAATAAAAAATAAAATAAAATAAAAGGCAAATTTGTGGCATACTCTTTATAGGATGAACTTCCTACTTGCTTCACTTTACTTTTCTAATTTTATTTTCTCTTTGACTCATTTTCCTCATGATTTTAAGCTGTATGTGGAGAGTGTTTTTTAAAATGATTTAAGCTTATTATAAGTAAATAAATGCATTAATAACACATACCTTCTCACATATGTCATTCAGTGCCCCAGCTAAGACACGGTATGCACTAGTTTTTCCTCCAAATGGTTCTCCAACAATCATAAAACCATGTCGTACAATCATCATTTCATATATTTGCAGAATCTTCTCAGAAAAGAAGTCAGTCATTTGTAAATTCATGGAGGCACAATTATCTTGAATAGCTGCCAGCAAATCATTATAATCTGGTTTTGGTAATTTCACCCCAGGAAACAAATCTGAAGTAATTCCCTGATGACAGATGATTTGGAAAATTTATATTTTACACATTTATATTAAATATACATAATATTAGTTAAAATATGAATATAATACATATTTAGTTTAGTGGAAAAAGATCTTTTAAGTAAAAATAGTTCAAAATTGCGTGTTTTCTTCTAAAAATTTTATAGCTTGAGGTTTTATATATATATATATATATATATATATATATATATATATATATATATATATATTTAGTTGTNATATATATATATATATATATATATATATATATATATATATATATATATATTTAGTTGTTGATGGACCTTTATTTTATTCATTTATTTATATGTGGTGCTGAAAATTGAACCCAGTGCCTAACACATGTGAAACAAGCACCCTATTACTGTGCCACAACCCCAGCCCGAGGTTTTATATTTAGTTTTACAATGTTTTAAAGTAGAAAGTTGAAGGATTCATACTATGTGATTTTGAGGTTTATTATGAAGACTGCCATATTGGTAAAAAGTAATAAATATATCAATAGAACAGGAAAAAGAAGTCCAGAAATAGATTCACACTTACATAAACAACTGACTCCCAACAAAGATACAAAGGCAATTCATTAGAGAAGAATCTTTTCAACAAAGGGTATGAGAACAACTAGTTATGTCAAAATAATCAACTTTAATCCATATCTCATACATATATATAAATATTAGTTCAGAAGTATTTTACAGAATGCATTGTGTAGGCATCACTTATTCTCTTGAAGTTGTAGATTGAGAAGTGTCCTCCACAAATTTCAGGTCCACTGAGAACCTCAAAATGTGACCTTATGTGAAAATAGGGTCTTGCAGACAAAATTAGTTAAGATTATGTCATACTGGCTTAGGGAATCCCCTAAATCCAGTGAGTGGCATCTACATGAGAGAAAGGAGAGAGAGGTTCAGATGTGGGGAAGAAAGTCATGTAAATATAGAGGTAGAGCCTAGAGGGAAGCAGTCACAAGCCAGGAAGCAGGAAGCATTACAGGGAGCTGCCAGGCTTCCTAGCTTCCTAGCTTCCGAAGCTAGGAAGAGGCAAGGAAGAACTCTTCTCTGAGCCTTCAACAGGAACATGGCCTCCCAACACCTTGATTTCAGATCTAGCCTTCGAAACTTCAAGAGAATAAGTGATGCCTTATGCTTCAAGTTTGTGTTTGTCATGGAAACCCTGGGAAGTGAATACAATCACATAATGTATGATTAAAAAGAATTACAGTTTTATTTTGTATATTTTCATAGATAGTTTTAATTACAAGGTCAAAGAAACTTATTTTTTATAAACTGGTCAGGTTATTTTATCACAACTCATGTGAGAAATATGACTATTCTTTTTACTTTGAAGGTAAAATTGAAATCTCAGTGGTGTTTAATATAAAAGCATATACACTATGCTATTTATGATACCAGTTTAATTGCCCCTACATTTATTTAGATACTATTATGAAAAAAAAATTCATCCCAATTCATCAGAGCAATAAATTTCCTTGGGGGGAAAATGACAACACAGCAAAGAGTTCAGAGTGCACTGCATCCTGACTGTGGTTACAATCCCTGTTCCACGAGTACTTGCCATAAATACAAGTTACTTATCATCACTGTGCCTCAGTGACATCACCTATACAACAGGGCTCATGATAGCACCTGTACTCTTGAGTCACTGTAGTATTAAAATAATTACACTTTGTAAAGCAATTAAAATAGTACCTGGTTCAGGATGGGGCTATACTCAGTGGTAGAGTACATACGAGCATGTGGGAGGCCTAGGCTTTATTCTCAGCATCACACACACATATATTCACAAATAGTGCCTGCTCTATATTAGGGCCATAGTGTTTGCTAAATAAAAAGATGGAAATCTTTTCATATTGTTCAGCTGGTTATGCATACATCTGAAAGAAGCAGAATCTTTTTGGTATTCAGTACCTTCCAATCAAACTCCTCATGTTCCTGCCAGTTAGAGAGTTGGGAATGTATGGAGGTGTCCTTCTGCTTGTCACTATGAGATAAGTCTATAGAGATCTGAGGGGTAATGTCTTGCAGTGCTTGGGACAGCAGTGCACAACAAGAAATTGTCCCAGTTGGAAATGTCAAGTATGTTCCATTTGAGAAACATGCTTAATACATGTTTACTGAACGAATAAACAATAGCAGAAGAATACATTTAGTGAGGTGTTGTTTCCACATTCTGAAAATAAATATATCTTTGTTCTTGGAAAATCTGTACAATGCATCAATACCAAGGAAACTGAGGAAGAACTTAAGGAAGAAAATTTGAAATATTTTCTTATTGATTTGTTTCATAAAATATTTGTACCACCAACTCTAACTACTAAGGAAAGCTCCTCTCAGAAAATTTTGAAACATAGTTGCCATGCATAGCTAATGACACTGGGCCCCACTAGTGGCAGCTTCTCTCCTTCTCCATGAAAGCCATAGTATCTTCAGTCTTTACATGCTGAAAGCTAAATGTCTGTCCTGCAAGTAGTGCAAGACAGGACATCTAACATTTATAAGCAGCCCACTGCTCCCTTGACTATTCTACCTGAAATGGGGAAGAGAAAAAGAATGACACCAAATGATATTAGGGAAATATAACCATTATCTTTAATCATCTAATACTTCCTCCTCTCAGTTGCTCATCAGTTGATCTTAAAATATAAGATGATTATCAAACTTGGTTCTTATTTAAAATAATCTGGAAAAAAATTCACAAAAGTCATCTCATTGTTTTAAAAAATTAAGCTTATTTGTTTTATTTCTTCAGTCACTAACTGAATGAATATTTACTGAGTATCTATTCTGTGCTTAGAATTCAGTGATGTATTAGGCAAATTACACTTCTTCACAGAGTCTGAGCCTACATTCGTGTGGAATTTATAAGGAAACATTTTTAAAATTTTGCTTGCTCATTATATTCTGTAGTGGGAAAAAAGTACTATTTTAAAAAATATCAAGTTGCTGAAAGTTATCCAAAGCAACAAAGCTAGAGAAAATATCTCAAGTAAAATAAGGAATGATCTACGTTTCTCTATAACATGTCATTGTATTTTATAGTGGAATTTTCTTACAAGGACTTTAAAAATTTAGACGTTTGATAAATAGTACATTATTATAAGAGTTTTGACACATAGGAATAATAATTGTTCTTACCTCAAAGAGTGGTAAATCATGGGACAAAAATTTTGGCAGATTTACATCAATAATAGATCTAAGCAGCAAAATTTCTTCATTTTCATTTGGATATTTCAGCTAAAAGAAAAGATATTTATGAAGATATCTGCATCTGCTATGGTGTTCATACACATACAAATACACAGGCCCTATGTACAATTTAAACAAATGCAAAAAGGTTACTTTCATTTGTTTTGATATTGTTGGATTAATTATGTATGCCAACATTTCTGTTTGTTAAATGTTTTACTAGTGTATTTAAAAAACCTAGGTTTAACTAGATTTTCAGACATATTAGGTAAGAAGCCATTGACCATGAATTCAATATAATCCTGGAGTCACCATTACCTATATATTAGGTAGAGCTCACATTTAAGACAGGCAGTAGGTGAAAATCACTACAAGTGGGCATTTTGGAAAAAAGTAATGTATTTAAATTTAAAACACCCAATCATTTCTCATATTTTGATGCCAGGATGTTTTTTTTTTTCTGAATTTAGAGTTCTGCATCCTTTTTAAAAAAATTTGTTCTTTTTAGTTACACATGACAATAGAATATATTTTGACATCATACATAACATGAAGTATAACTTTCCATTCTTATGTTTATACATGATGTGGAGTTATACATTGTATGTTAATATATGAACATAAGAAAGTTATTTCCAATTCATTCTACTGTCTTTTCTATTCCCATGTCCTCTTCCTTCCCCTCATTCCTCTCATCCAATCTGGTGAACCTCCACTCCTCCCTCCCTCCCACCTATTGTGAGTCAGCATCTGCAAATAAGAGAACATTTGGCCTTTGGTTTTTTTTGGAACTGGCTTATTTAACTTAGCATGATAGCCTTCAGTTCCATCCATTTACCAGCAAATGTTATATTTTCATTCTTCTTTGGGGCTGAGTAATATTCCATTGTGAATATGCATCACATTTTCTTTATCCATTCATCTATTGAGTGGTACTAGGTTGGTTCCATAGCTTAGCTATTGTGAATTGCGCTGCTATGAATATTGATGTGGCCACATCACTATTGTATGTTGATTTTTAAGTCCTTTGAGTATATGCTGAGGAGTAGGATAACTGGGTCAAATGGTGGTTCCATTCCAAGTTTTCTGAGGAATCTTCATACTGCTTTGCAGAGTGGTTGCACCAATTTTGCAGTCCTACCAGCAATGTATAAGTACACCTTTTCTCCCACATTCTCACCAACATTTATTTTTACTTGTATTCTTGATAACTGCCATTCTGACTGGAGTGACATAAAATCTCAGTGTTGTTTTAATTTGTATTTCTCTAATTGCTAGTGATGTTGGACAGTTTTTCATATATTTGTGACCATTTGCATTTCTTCTTCTGTGAAGTGTCTTTTCAATTCCTTTGCCCATTTAACGATTGGGTTATTCTTTTTTTTCCCTTTGTATTTTTTGAGTTCTTTCTATATTATAGAGATTAATGTTCTATCTGAGGTCTGCACCCTTTTTTATTTATTGCAAAAAAAATTGTATCAGTAAAGCATCATCTATTCCATCCAGTTGTGTCATTCATTTTTTTTGAAGGGGATAATGGTCTTCAAAGATACTTACTTGTATAATAATTTAAGTGTGTCATCCTTATAAATTTCCAAGCCCTTCAGTTTTACAAATTTTTCTCATCCACATCCAATTTAAAGTCTTTTTTTTTTTTTTTTTTTTTTTTTTTTAGCATTTCACCTTTACTGAATCTTTCTTAAACAAGAATCTCAGCTTTCATAGAAAGGAAACTTTTCTTCTTTTCATGTTTATATATATCATTGGTTTCTCCACCATGCAATTAAATGACATAATAACAGTAATATGTTCCAACTGGCTTCAAAGATACAAAGCCAGCAAACCGCCTCTGGGTAAGGAATGAGGTAAGCTTTTCTGACAGAAGTGGAAGTGGGAGGGCAGAGAAGTGCAATGCTGCTAGCTGTAGCTCACTGTGCCACATGTGTCAGCCCATAGAGAACGTGGAGGTGGCTGGGTAAGCTACTCAGTTGAGGGTATTTAAGAACATTTACATTTACTCCAAACCATCTACCCAGAGTTAACTAAGCATCTGACTAAACTCTGAACTTGTTACTGGTGCCTATGATAGCACTCACATAATTAACAGAAATCTAACTCCAGAATTATTTATTCCCAACTCTGATACCATCTCACTCCAAAATTTCTCTGGCCATCATGCTTTTCTTTCTAGAACCCTCTCCTTTTTCTCTAAAATCTTTATACCAAATAAATGTCTTGTTCTTGCTACAGTGGCTTCAGTCTTACAAAGTCAAGGCTGTCTGGCTGTCAGGTTCAGCCATCTCTGAATCTCTAGAGCTCCTATTGCCAAAAACAAATCCTGGCCATCAGGGTTTTGTCTTTGCTCAATCTAACCACAAATAAATTATGAAGTATCAGATGTCTGTTTTGTTATTTGGGAGACTATTATTTGGAAGCAAATGTTTATTTAAATTGTCTCTTTATATAATAGAAACAAACTTCAAAATATTCAAGCCAAAACATTCAACAATTATAAATTAGCTTCTACAAAGAATGATAGGATTCGTTTTCAGGATTCATTTGCAGCCTAACTCTAATAGCTCAATTCCACAGTCAAGATTTCAGTGATGATACACACCAACAATGCATTATCTCTCCTATTATCTGACTGCATTGTAATACTGACATGCCAGGTTAATACAAATTGTTGCTCCTAGGCACTTTTGTTTATTGCAAAAAACAAAGACTTGAAGTTATGTTAGGCTAATGTGAAATGGAATATCACCACTATATATCAGCATTCTCAATAACATTATTATAGAAGATAAAATGCATGCCATTGCTCTTAATCACATAGGATAGATTTTAAAATCTATATCTTTTTCAAATCATGAACAGGAAAATTATATAAGCTCCAAGGTCACATTGCATATTTTGCTCCTAACTATAGCTCTATCTTGCCTTCCTAAAGAACTAACTAATGTACATTTATATTTCACGATCCCACAAAATACTTCTAATCAAGTCTTAAAGTATTTGGGTTTTTCATATATATATACATGTGTATCTGTGTATATATATTTGTGTGTGTTACTTAGGCCATTTTTAAGTACAAACATTTTATTGCAAATTGATCACCACTAGTCCACAGTTGGCTACAATTGGTAATTGTATTAAGTGAAGGTGTTTAGGACCTTTTATATATATTTATTAATTATACATTATTTCCTTTAAAGGGGTATATGTTTTATAGACTGAAATTCTTTAAAAATATTTCTCAGCATCAAGCAATATTATTCCTTGTAGTACCCAGTTTCTTATATCTAAAATTATGAAATAGAACTCAAGTCACTAAGAGTATACGTTCTTAGGTTTTAGAAATTATTATAAAATGGCTATAAAAATTTATTTTTCATGTTTACAGAATAACAAATTATTTTAGTACAATAGTTAATTTTTCAGTTAACTCATGAAACCAATTTGTCATTGGAACTCTATTCTATGAAGACACACAAACCTCAGATTTACAAATGGGAAATGTATGAGTCAGAAACACTCAAGTTTCTACCTTTAGATTCCCAGCAGCTGTCAGCACCGACTTCACAGCCCGCATTCCATAGTCATAGTGATGTTGAGATGACAACTGCTCTGAACATAAGCGATATGTAGCCACAATTTTTATTGACAGTGGCCGAGCAGTGACAAAGCCACAGGAATACAGGACTATTTCAGCAATCATGGCATAGTCAGGGACCATCATTGCTACTGTCCGGAAGAGAGCCTGTGGATGCATACAAAAGGTGCTTTGGAACAAAAAGATCATTAAGATACTCTTTATTTTATACCATATACAACTTTATAGTTTTTATGCAACAATTTAACATTTATTCAACAATAAATAAAACTTATTAAACAAGTATTAAATGACAATGCTCAAATCATACATTTTTAAAAATTGGCTTCCTAGTTTTGGATATAATAATAAATATATCATTAACTATATAAATTTTTTCTCTCTTAAATGTTAAGTATCAATTATGTTATATTATTTGTGGGAAACAGCATATCATAGGGAAAAGAAGATCAGATTTGGCCAGGATGTCCAAAAGCTGGACTTCTCATCTGGACTGGTTTGAGAAAGTGCCTACTGTTGGGAGATGGGGCTTCAAGCAAGGTTATCTAGGGATCTAATTAATTTTATAATCTGGGGCTAATCAAATAACCCCTCATAACAAGACTGTTTTAGATAAATGACATATTTTGGGAAATTCTGAACCTTTTTGAGTTTGTAGTAATGTTGTGCTTTCTGCAAACATAAGAATGGAAGAAAATTAGAGTTAAGTCATTAGATGACTATTATTAGAGATAAATCAATTTTTCAAATTATAAAGGTAATTTATTCCCACAGTGTTTTAAATATTGTGGGCAAATAAATGTCATGTATGGTAAGTAAACAGAAAGCTCAATAGATATTTAAAGAATAAATATGAAAATTTAAGTTTCAGTAATTCATGTAGTAAAACATGACTTTCTTGTACTAAACAGAAAAGAAAAATAATATTCTTGAGGGGATAAAAAGCCCCTATAATGAATGGTAATAGTGAATGGTAATTGTATTCATATATTTTGTAAATATCTTATCTTCAGAAATTAATTGAATTATCAAAACACAAGGTAGATAAAAATAAATATGAACATCTTGCATAAGTGCTCTATTATGACACTTACACATCTGAGAACAAGTAAAAGATTTGTATGAAGCAAGCCCCTTTCAATAGATTATGTAAGTTGCTAGTCAGAGGCCTTAGTACTGACTTATCAATAAGGTTAGCATTAGAGAATGGAAAAAAGAAATTGCCAAAAATATAGTATGAGCAAGTAACCTTAGAGAATCTTGAGTGTTCTAACTACTACATATATGAGAGGGAAAAAAAAAATGAAGGAGAATAATCCAGAGGGTACCTCTTTAAAAGTGTAAGTTCTCAACAACTACTTTTGAATAAAAGAGAATGACTGAATTTGCAAATCAGTCAGTCAGTCTCTGGCTATGTTAGGGTGACACAGTCCTTCTACAATGGTACAAATGGCTATTTGAGTTTGGCATCAACACCTAGTACTGTGTTGTAAGTTTTCCTCTGACCACCCAAGATATTTCTCATATTCCTATTCATGTTCTCCTAGCACAGTAGCAATATGGTTGTAAAACACTATGAAACATATACATTGGTACAAAAGAACCAAAAAAAAAAAAAACCCAAAGACAAGCAAACAAAAAATCAGTGAGTAAAGATACTTCAAGAGCTTATCATGATGTTCCACTTATTAGGAGACCTCCACCAAATATTTAACATTGGTACTTACTTATCACAGAGAAAAGCATGCTGATCAAAACAGTTTTAGGCCTAATTCAGTTTGAGCAAGTCCTTAGAAATAAATAGTTAGAAGTTATTGTGTAGTGGCACCCTCTCCTTCACCAATGCATCTTAATTAAACTTCTCTAGAGATCCTATCACAAGTGTTCTTATTAACAAAATATCAGTCCAGATGTCCGCAGAAGGACTCCAAAACAAGGTATATGACATACTGACCTAAAATAGTTTGGTTTTGGATATGTCAGAAATAATTTGTTAGTGGTAGCGGTAAATTTGGGGAAAATTTAGCACTTTGGAGGGAAAAAAAAATAAATTGGATTCTAGCTTAGCTAATCGCATAACTTCTTGAGTGAAAAAAAGAAAGGAAAAAAGGAAGAGAAAGACATAGATACGATACTGGTACCATTCTAGGACTTGCATAAATCCGAACATATGTAACCATTGTGAGCATAGCCCTTCATGTTTATCACAGTAGAAATTAGTGATATTTATGGAAGAAGACTGTTACATAAAATACTACTTCCTGGAGTATGCTGTCAAAGGCCTGTGAATTGGTGAAATTAAAAAAAAAAAAAACTTCAAGCAATTGATGCAGGACAGAAGAGGCTGGACACTAGAGAAATTAGCAGGAAGCAGGTTTGTTGGCTGCAGCTAGTCTAAAGGGGATTTCTGCCTAAAACAAATTCTCTCGCAATATGTCAATCAATGGAAGGGTAACTGATGTGATACAGCAATTTGTATACGGGGTAAAAGCGGGAGTTCATAATCCACTTGAATCAAACCATGTAATATGATGTATTAAGAACTATGTAATGTTATGAACGACCAATAAAAAAAAAATTATAAAGTTGATTTAGTTCTGATATATCACAACTAAAGTTATTTTATGAAATTGAGTTATACTATTTGTTTCTTTCCTGTAAACATTTGCATCAATTTTATCCAATAGTTTAAAGGAAAAAAAAATATTGGCTCGGGCAAGCAAGATCACAATTAAGGAAAAGGTTTCTATCAGTTCAAAAATTAAAATTATCAAAAAATGAAAAAAAAAAAACAAATTCTCTCTCTGAACGCCAAGTCTAGCAATTCTTTAAACTTTACACCCTATGGTGGGAAGAGCTTACAGGTTTATAACTTTTTTCAGAAGTTTACATAGAAGTATAGAAGCAATTTTTTTTTCCTGGAATTCTTAGAAGGTGCCTATTGTCCCATTTCTTAGAATAATCAGGGGAGATTTTACAGGATATACCACAAAAGCAGAGTATATCCATCAAGTCTGCAGTTAAATTTAGTTTTTGCAAGATAGAGCAGAGCAATGGGAAATAGGTGTCCAACCACACTGAGCCCTCTGTAAAGATCTTGACTGATATTTTGTTAACAAGTACAACAGTGGTGAGGGTCTCTAGAGAAGCTTAATTAAGATGCATTGGTGGAGGACAGGGTGCCACTATGCAGTAACTTCTAACTATTTCTTTCTAAGGCCTGGAAATAAATTTCAAAATTACCTTGACCTGTTCAGGAATGGGTTTGATTTTAGTTGAGTAAAATGGGAAATTCAGGATTTACAGTACTACTAGAATGTCTCATTCCACATGCTCTCTGGAAAGCTAGGTATCAGTTTATTGGCTTCTGGGACATGAGATCTAGAACATGCCCATTTTACCATGGCTTCTACCATTTAACTCTTCTGAAAGGATCATTAAATATTCATTCCTCAGAATAGTTTCAATCTAAAATATAGCTTCTCCAAAGTGGAGTTGTGCTTAAGAAATTGCTCTATTAGGAAGGTTTTATCTAGATGTAACAAGTGTCAAAATGAATGTGGCATATGCACATTGGAATTTTACTCAGCAATAAAAGAGAACAAAATCATGGCATTTGCTGGTAAATGGATGGCATTGGAGAAGGTAATGCTAAGTGAAGTTATCCAATCCCCCAAAAAACAAATGCCGAATGTTTTCTCTGATATAAGGAGGCTGACTCATAGTGGGGTAGGGATGGGGAGCATGAGAGGAATAGATGAATTCTAGATAGGGAAGAGGGGTGGCAGGGAAAGGGAGGGGGCAGGGGATTAGCAAGGATGGTTAAATATAATGGACATAATTTCCAAAGTACATATATGAAGACACGAATTGGGTGTCAACATACCTTATATACAGAGATATGAAAAATTGTGGTATATATGTGTAATAAGAATTGTAATGCAAAAATATCCCAAAGTACCTGTATAAAGACTTGAATTGGTGTGAACATACTTTATATAGATACAAAAATTGTGCTCTATATGTGTAATAAGAATTGTAATGCATTCCACTGTCACATATTTAAAATCAATTTAAAAATCTACCTTTCCATGAACTTTAGACATTGTTGGAGAAATAGAGCATGTGTGTATGAAAAGAAACACTTGGCTATGGCTTTCACCAGAAATAGTGACCTGCTATGTAAGATATCATAGGAGCTCATTAAACTGAGATTTACTCAAAAAAAAGTGTCAAAATGAGACTCTTTTTGCATGAAATAATACTTATCAGTTACCAAAGTGCATCTTACCTGCCCAATATGCAAAACTTACAAAGAAAATGCTTACAACCCTTGACACTTCTCATCTCACAATTTTGTAGATTATATTTGAAAGAGAAGGTAAGGAAAGAAGGATCTATGAAAATATTTCCTTTGAAAGGAGCTGCTGTTATACTGTGAATCCCCATAACCCCCTTCCTATCCCTAAGTCTAGTGAGAGCTTGGGAGGTATCACAGCATTGGGAGGGATATGGATTGATGCTTGGCTTATGTTTGAGAAAGTTAAAGTGGCCTGTGGCAGCAGGATCAATGCCCAGAATTTGCTGAGACAAAGATACATGAGGTGCATGCAACTTAAAAAAAAAAAAAAAAAAATAAGGAGAGCCAGGCTGGTGCTGTTGAAGTCCTGCCCAATATACCTTCTGGCAGACTGAGAACTCTCCAACAGTGAAGTGTTTTTTATGAAACTGGCCACCAGAGATCTAGACAGAGGGAAGAGATTGACAACTGGTTACAAGTTAAGAGTTCCAACAGAGGAGTACCCAGAGAAGCCATGGACGTGGATATGACAGTATTCAGCCACAAACCTCTGCCAGGTCCAGGGACTTCATCCAGATGGTCATATTTGAACTGTAGTATGTTAAGTAGTTCACTGTTAGATTAAAGGATGAGTATAAATTAATCTAACAGGAAAAGAACACTCAAAGGAGAGAAAAGAGCATGCAGAACAGAAAGGCATTGGACATTCAGAGACTAGTGAGGTCCCATGGAACAGTCTAATGTAGGCAAATGGGCCCTAAGGCCAAGGCTCTCATAGATTTTACTAAGAAATTTGAACCTTATTTTATTTTTTAGGCAGGAAGGAGCTCAGCAGGTTTTAAGTCTGGAAATAATATGATTATATTTTGTTTGATAGATAACAGTGGCAACAGAGTAATGGTGAGTTCCACTGGGAAAGAAATTGGTGAAAAGAGAGCTGTCACAGGAAGATACCCCAAAAGAAGACTGAGAGGGGTAAAAACAAGGTGTGGCAGCAGGCCTAGCCAGGATCAGCAGGAATTATAAGACTTTCATGAGATGGAATTCCTGGGTTTTGGTGGTTAACTGAATCATCAAACGAAGATAAGATTTCAAGGATGATTCTGAAGACTGGTAACAATAAGGCCCAGCTGGATTTTTGTCTTTTAGTTTTTGTGGTTTTGTTTTTGTTTTAAGGAATCTATAACTCTTTCATTTCAGACTTGTTAGGTATTTCCGTATATACTTGAAACAGATTTTCTGTAGCAGCTCTAATCAAAGAGAACACCATAGGAGGAAGAGCAAGAACAACAACAATATCTATCAAATTTGAGAACAACTTTTGGCTTAATATAGAAGGAAAATATCCTAAGAACCACGCAAGAATATTTTGACATGTGTCAACTTGCACACTCTGAAAATGTCTGCATGGGACATTGACAGATTCAACCAATAATGGGTCTCAGCATTCCACCACTAGCTTCTCACAGATTTTTGCCTTTCCTGCTTTTATAAATATTTATGCATTCAGGTTGATCCTACTGAATAAAAGAATAACATAAGGGAATGAATAGCAAAACTGCTACGAAATGAGCTTTCCAAAAGAAAACTGCAATGAAAAGTCACAAAACACTTTTCAGGTAAAGGATGTACTACTGGGTTTTCATTTTTAAATTATGCCTTCCTTCACTATGTCAAAGTACTAAAACATCTAAGCTAACATAAAAGGATATAACATAGGGATACAAAAATACTTGGCAGCAATTTGTCATATCAAAAGTTTTTGATGGAAAAGAAAAATTGCTCATTTACTTTAAGAAGCTGTCAGTCTAAACAAGTGAATGGTGGAAGACATGGAATGTGGTTAGAAGGCTTGGTTTGGGATCTGAAATCGACATTGCACTATTCCCCAACATTGTACACTATGCAAAAGACATAATATGCAATTCACCAGAAAATAATATAAAATGGCTAAAAATATATGAAGAAAATGTCATATTTCACTAATAATAAAAGAAGGTATTGTTGTTTGTTTGTTTGTGTGTGTGTGTGTGTGTGTGTGTGTGTGTGTGTACACACTCTCAAGTGAAGCTTCTGGTCTATTTTCTTAAGGCAGTGTTCTGTTTTTTAATTAAAAAAATAGTGCAGTATATTAATGAAAATTGAGGATTGATATGGAAAATAAATTGTCCCAACCTCTGTTCCAAGGCAATTTAGCAGTATACTGCTCATCTCTAGTTGGAAATGTTTTAAATAGAGAAAAGCCTTAAGGAAAACTACCCACTGTGACATTATTTTTAATGCAGGAAAACTAAAAGTAACTTAAATGTCTAACACTATTTAAAAATATAAATTTTTGGAAATTGAACCTTGTATACATATTTATTTTCTAAAGGTATACATATTTGTTTTACTCAAAGCTTGATTATCTTCTAGAACAATTTTCTAAATAAAATATTGTCATGCCTGAAAGCAAATATTTTACATAAAATTCTAGGGTAGCATATTCTTTCTTTTTGTATTAACTTTGCAAATTGTGAAAAGAAAACAGATGATATCATTATATTCTTCATACCTTCAGATTATCTGGTAGTTCTGATCGCCCAGCATACCCAGGGTTCATTGTTATAAAGACAGCACATGTGGGGTCAAGTTTTAGTTCAGTTCCTTCAAACACTAGTATTTCAGCACCTGCATTAATACCTGTGGATAATCAAGAATGAAATGACTTAGCAAAACCCCATATAAATGTGGCTTATGCCATTCATTACCTCCTATATTTCTTCTATTTTCACATAATAAAATGACAGATTAGTTCATTACCTCTTTGGATAGTAAGGATTTGTTGAGCAACCACAGAAAGCACTTCCAAATCAATTCTGTTAAACTCATCAAAGCAAGCCCAGGCTCCACAAGATAACAGTCCCTGGGAGAAAAGAGTAATGAAATTTTTCAACTTTATCTGATTGAATATTACATTGAAATGTTGCATTTTCACCTGATCTTTTCAAGGATTTAATATCCTATCAAGGAAATTGCTTATTCACTTTTATCTTTAAAGACAGCTTATTTTTTCATTACTAATTCATTATTCTGCATGAATAAAAAGTTTGATCAACTGGAAATTTTCCAATTTATTTTTTATTTCCTGTGTATCCTTTGGTATTTAGATGTACTCCTATAATTTCAAAGCCTTTTTTATTTTCATTTATAATTTCATTTTATTTGCTTTTACCATATGGACTCAATAGAATAGACTGTAATAATCCTCTAACTGAGATGACTTCTGTAGCCAATGAAACTGCTTTGTAGTCTGAGCACCTTAATAACCAACAAACATAATTTAGGGCCTGAATGTACAATCCTAACTCACAGGTACCTCACAAATATATGCCAATTGATCTTAAGGAAAAACTGGAAAATCAAATATTCAAATTTACTTTTTAAAAATATCAATTCAACAAATATTTGTTAAGAACACACATTTGATATATCAGGTGTGCACATGAGTGGTCAGGGTAGAGGCATGCTGCATGGCACTTTATAGATGCCTTTAATGCAAGGAAACGAAGGATATACCATATGAGATGCTGATAATTGGCAAAGCCCACACAGCTAATAGTGTCTGATCTTGAATTTGTACATAGATCATCTATTGAACCAAACTGAATTGAACATAAACTCCATGCATGTCAAAGAATAATCAATTTTCATTATTTAGAGAAGACTCTATTTGTGAACCCTAATGCATGATATATAGTAAAAGGATTAGAAATAACGCAGAACAGAATACTTATAGTCACATATTCAGTTATATAGATTGCGAGGTTCTTAATAATGAGAATGTCTTTTTTATTTTTATCTCCATTATTTAGTCTGAACCTAACAAAGTATCCATATAATTAACTAAATTATCATAAGCAAATTTAATTAAGTGCGTAAATCTAAATCGAACTATGACTATCACAATATATATTAAAAACTGTTAATATACCAGAATTTTTTTCAACACATAGAAATACAGTGGCTACTCGATCTACATATAGAATCTTTTAAAATTGGTGTTCATTTCTTAAATAATTATTATAGCATTTTTGTATATTGTTAGAGGATGAACTAAAATGTTATTTAAATGTTTTCTTATTTATTATAATTTTGATTCACTTTTATTTTTAATTCTTATTCTAATTGTTTTAGTATCACAAACATAGAGTACTATAAAACTTTAAATCTGTTATAAAATAATCAGGATATATTAGTCAGAAAACAGTTTATGGTATTGAGCAGAACTTCTATGTTCTTTTCTGTTAATTTATTAATTTGGGCAGGGGGGATCTGTGGATGGAAGCCAGGGCTTCAAGCCTGTTAGGCAAGCACTCCAACACTGAGCAACATCCCAGTTCCACTAGTTTATTCATGTTAAGTTTTCTCTTTTTTTTAATACTTCTTTTTTCGTTGTAGTTGGACACAATACCTTTATTTTTATTTATTTATTTTCATGTGGTGCTGAGGATTGAACCCAGGGCCTCGCACATGCTAGGCAAGCGCTCTACTGCTGAGTCACAACCCCAGCCCTCATGTTAAGTTTTCTAAAGAAAAATATATAAAAGTAAATACTATAGAATATTTTAAATGAATTTTGAAAATTACAGAAAATAAAAATATATAAATATAAAGAACCCATAACCCCAAATGGATTATTTTGTCTTCAATTGTACCATTTAATATTTTAAAGAATAGCAAGCTCTATCAATGAACTACTGAATGGACTAGACATTCATGTGTTTATAAAAAGGGACTTTAATTCCTTTAATCTTTAATTTCATCTTTTGGAATCTTACACACCTATGAGTAGAAATCTGACACAGAATAAGAAAAAATAACAAAACAAGAAAGCAAAAACAGAATTTAAGCTCACTGAAAAAGATTAATTAGAATGTGCCTATAATTCGGCAATTTACTGAATCATAGAATCTGCTGATAACAAGATCTACAGGTGAAAAGTCTTTAAATCCTACAACCTTTACACAATGTAGAAGTTCTCAAACTGTTACCTGCCCTAACGTTATTTAAGGACTCACTCACTCATTCCTATCAGTAACAATGACCCACTATAGCAGGGACTGGCTGGAGAGGGAGGCAGAACTCATCCTCAACAAAACTTTAAAATGAATTTTGAAAATTACAGAAAGTAGAACCCTACTTCCCCTGAGAATTATTGAGGCATTGCTTAAATTTTTACCTTTTCTTAAGATACAGGAAAGCTTTTACTTGCATTTTAATTATGTTGTAAACAACTTTCCTGTAAATTTTCCTATTATAAACAAATGGAGAATCAATTCAAACCTTAAAGAATTTTCCCAGGGCCAAATAATCCAACCCATCAGAGCAGTTGAAAACCACACATTGTTTGGCTATAGCTTTTGCTAAATCCTTGGTAGTTTCTGTCTTTCCAGTGCCAGCTGGACCCTCAGGTGCTCCTCCAAGATGCAAGTGAAGGGCTCCAAATAAAGTTCTGAAATAGAATAAATAGACATCCCTTAAGAAATAACGTGATTTTTAAAAATGCACATGCCAAAAAAAAAAAACCTGAGAACTAAATTCACATTTCTTCCTCCCTACTAGCTTTCCAAATCTCTGATACTACATTCCTTTGTTATTCTATTCTACTTCTAAATAGCTGTAATATATGACAAATTTAGAACAAATTCATTTTTAAAATTCAGTGCTGACTTCTGGTCAAAATGGAGAATTCAGGTGACCCTGAACAATCCAGCTCCCTTACTATAAGAATATACAAAAGTTTCGTAAATCAGTAACTTTTAAATAACATGGCCATTTCATGATTTTATGAATGCATCATAGTTATACATTATAGTGGGGTTTATTCTGACATACTCATACATGCGTGAAATTTAATTTGCTCATTTCAGTTCTGGTGATTCCTCTTTCCCTCGCCTTCTCCTTCTTATTCCCCTTCCTCTACTCTACTCGTCAACCTTCTATTCATTTATCATTTTTTAAAAAAAATGATGCTTTATAGACATACATGAAGGTGGAATTTTTGGTGGTATATTCATATAGGTACATAGCATAATTTTGTCAAATGCATTTCACATTTTCTTCCTTTTCACCTCTCTTCTTCTCCAAACTCCTTCCTCTACTCCACTGATTTTCCCTCTATTTTTGTGAGATCTACCCCCCTGCTCCCTTACTTTGCTCTATCTTTTGCATATGAGAGAAAACATTCAACCCTTGACTTTTTGAGTCTCACTTAGGTCACTTAGGATGATGTTCTCCAGTTCAGTCCATTTACTAACAAATGTCATAATTTCTATTTTTTAGAAAGCTGAGTAAAACTCCATTATGTATATGTACCACATTTTCTTAATCCATTTATCTGTTGATGGGCACCTGGGCTGGTTCCATAACCTGGTTATTTGAACTGAGTTGCTATAAACAGTGATATGCCTGTATCACTACACTATAGTGATTTTATTTCTTTTGGATAAACACCAAAGAGTGGAATAAGTGATTCATATGGCAGTTCTATTCCTATTCTTTTGGGTAATATCCATACTGCTTTCCAGAGCTGTCATAATAATTTACAGTCCAATCAACAATGTATGAATATATCCTTTTTTTCTACATTCTCACCAACATTTATTATTGTTTTATTCTTTTTAAATTACAGTGTCATTTATACATAGAAGTTGGGCTCATTTTGACAAAGTCATATATGCATGGAAATTGATTTACTCCATTTCAGTCCTTGTTTCCCATCCTTTCCCATCCCCATTCCCTCTTTCTATTCTCCATCCTTAACTCTACTGACCTCCCTTTTACTTATCTATCTATCTATCTATCTATTTATTCATTTGTACCAGGGCTTGAACCTAGGGGCACTTAAGTACTAAGCCACATCCCCAGACCTTTTTTATACTTTATTTAGAGTCTCACTGAGTTGCTTAGGGCCTCACTAATTTGCTGATTTCAATCCTCTTGCCTGAGACTCCCGAGACTCATTCATTTTTGATTGGTGCTTTGTACATATACCTAAAGGTGAAATTCTGTGATATATTAACATATGCATATAATGTGATCTTAAAAATGGATTCCACATTTCTTCTCCTTCTCATTCTCCTTCCCTCCCTTCTTAATCTCCTTCTTCTACTCTACTGATCTTCCCTATATCTTTTGATATCCTATCTCCCAGGCCTGACCACCACACCTTCTTTCCCTCATATTTCTCTAGCTTCCACACAGGAGAAAAAACATTTAACCTTGATTTTCTGAGTCTAGCTTATTTCAATTAGCATGAAATTCTCCATTTCCCTCCATTACTGGAGAAGGCTACAATTTCATTCTTAATTATGGTTGAGTAAAGCTCCATTGTGTATATACACCACATTTTCTTTATCCATTTACCTATAGATGGGTATCTGGGCTGGTGCTGTAATCTGGCTATTATGAGTTGTGCCTCTATATATACTGAAGTGACTGTATCACTATGGTATGTTGCTATTAGTTCTTTTGGACGAAAAGCAAGGAGTTGGATAACTGGGTCATTCATTTTGAGGAATTCCATAAGGATTTCCAGAGTGGTTGTACTAATTTGTGATTCCACCAACAATGTATAAGTGCACCTTTTCCTACTGCTCACCAGAATTTATTCTTTTTTGTGTTCTTGATAACTGCCCTCTGACTAGAGTGAGATTAAATCTCCGCGTAGTTTTGACTTGCATTTCTCTGATTGCTAGAGATGTTGAACACTTTTCATGTGTTTGCTGGTATTTTGTGTTTCTTCTTTTTAGAAACATCTGTTTAGTTCTTTTGCCCATTTATTGGTTAGATTATTTGTTTGTTGTGTTTTTGTTGTTGTTTGGCTGTTTTGGTTTGTTTAGGGTTTTTTTGGGGGGGTTTTTTTGGTGTTAAGTTTTTTGAGTTCTGTATTTATTCTGGATATTAATCCCTGTCAGAGGAGCAGCTGGCAAAGATTTTATGCCATTCTATGGTCTCTCTCTTCACATTCTTAATCATTTCCTCTACTGTATAAGCTTTTTAATTTGATGGCATCCCACTTATTGATTCTTGACTGAGCTTTAGGGGTCTTGTTAAGGAAGTCAGTACCTACACCAATATGACAGAGTATTAACTCTATATTTTCTTCTAGCAGTTGCTAGAAACTTCCGGTCTGATTCCTAGATCTTTGATCCACTTTGATTTGACTTTTGTGCAGGGTGAGGTATAGGGATTTAGTTTCATTCTTCTACATATGGATCTAAATGATCTCAGTTTTCCTAGAACCATATGTTTAAAAGTTTTTTTTTCTCCAACATATATTTTTGGCCCTTTTGCCAAGTATTGATGGCTGTAGTAAGTATGTGAATTTGTCTCTATTTTCTATTCTATTCCATTGTTCTTCATGTTATTTTGATGCCAATACCATAGTGTTTTTGTTAGCTCTTTAGTAAAATTTGAGATTGGATATTGTGATGCCACCTGTATCACTTTTCTTGCTCAGAACTGTTTTGGCTATTCTGAATCTTTTATTCTTCCAAATGAATTTTAGGGCTGTATTTTTCCTAGTTCTATAAAGCATGCCATTGATATTTTGATGGGAATTGCATTGAATCTGTATATTGCTTTTGGTAATATGAACATTTTGATGATATTAACTCTCTACCCAAGAACATTGAAGATCTTTTCATCTTCTGAGGTCTTCAATATCTTTCTTGAGTGTTCTATACTTGTCATTGTAGAGGTCTTTCACCTCCTTGGTTAGACTTATGACCAATGTTTTTGTTTGTTTGTTTGTTTTGTTTTTAGGTTATCATGAATAGGATAGCTTCTTTCTCAGCAGATTCACCACTACTACAGCATATGAAAGCTATTGATTTCTGAATGTTGATTCTGTGTCCTGCAACTTTTCTAAATTTGTTTATTAGCTTTAAAAGTCTTCTGTACATAGCCTTTCTTTAAAGTATAAAAGAGAAATCACCAACAAAGAGGGAACGCAAAGTTGGAGAATGCTAATGCTGCACAGGTTTATGTTGTTTTAGGATCTGCATATAAACACAAATATATTTATGCCTACATAGACACAGAAAATAAATTCTCAGAATTGAGGCAAGGTGGAGAATTGAAATGTATCCACTTATATAAATCTAGAAGTCTTGAAATGCTTCCTTTCTGTAAGTGAGAAGTAAATTTATTCTAGTAACCTATTGGAGAAAGACAAAAAACAACCAAAAGTAGCTTATCTTCTATGCAGGGCCTCATGAAGCCTATATCATTCACTGATGGGAGGGGATTCAAATTCCAATTACTTGCACATGTGAACCCATATAAAAACCTAACCTTAAACTTTTTTCTGGACCAGAGAAAGCCATATACCCTTCCTCAGAGATATATCTGAAACTGCTCCATCAGGACACCTCAACTAAGGACATGAAAGACTACATGAGGAAACAACACGTACTAAAATGACCTCAAAGGTAAAATGGGAGGGGGGTGGGTGCCAAAGTTCGGTCAGACTTGCAATGACAAAAGCAGGTAGACAAAAGTCTATGAGTGTCACTAAATATATGGCACGCTGCCCTCTTGGTATTCTGGTGGACTGCTAAATGAGATTTTAAATAGAAAGTAATGGACACCAGAAAATGTATATGTGTGTGTGTGTGTGTGTGTGTTGGAGAGAGAGAGAGAGAGAGAGAGAGAGAGAGAGAGAGAGAGAGAGAGAGAAGAAAACACAAAGAGATAAGCCAATTTCATAAAAGAGAGAAGTTGAAATTCTAGCAACAAAAATGTAGAAAACTCAGTGAATTGGTTAATATTAAAATAAACATAAGGAAACAGAACTATGCACTAGAGGAACTCACCCAGAGAGATATAGATATCAAATGTAAAAAATATTTAAGAGGCAGAGAAAAAAAGAAGTGTATAAGAAAATAGTGAAGAGGCAAAATTTATGTGGCAATGGCTGAGAATTTTCTATAAATGAAGACAGGCATGAATTGAAAAAATTTCCAAGTAAGATAGATAAGTAATGCAAATAATGCACATTTGGACAAAAGAAAACCATATACCCTTCCTCAGACATAAATCTGAAACTGGTCCATCAGGATACCTCAACTAAGGACATGAAAGACTACATGAGGAAAAAATAATTCACATCTAATAACATTACAGTGGATATCAGCAATAAAGAGAAAATTTTGAAAATTACAATAGAGAAAGAAAATTTACTTAGATAATAATTAAAATAACAGGTTTCTCAGCAATCACAATGGATGAATGCCAGGAGAATATTATCTTTGGAAGTCTGATGGAAAATTATTGTTCATCTACAATTCTATACTTAGCACATATTTTAATAATTGAACAAAGACAGAGAATGAAAGAAAAGGAGAGGGAGAGGCATTATTTATATAAAGACTAAGAGAACACAGCTTGCAGATATTCACTGAACCAATGACTAAAAGTTGTTACACAGTAAGGAGAAAATTAAAAGAAGTAAAGCAAAGCAAGAAACAATGGTAAGTAAAGAAAATAATGTTTGGGGTTTTATATTCCCCAAGTTTTAATTTTTATTCTCTTTTGCTTTTCCCCTTTCATGTATTATCTTTTATTAAATTTTTAAAATTCAATTTTCTCATCTGATATGGATATGATATGAGATATGATACGGGATTCTATTTCTATTCTTTTAAGCTAACTTTGACTTAAAAGTGCCTATTTCATTCAATGAAGCCTAAAATTAATAAATCCCTTTATCCTCTTTCTAAATAATAAAGGGCTTTAAGTACTTTATCTTCAAGTTCCTATTCCAAATTATTGTCAAATACTAAATTAAACTCTGTCTTTAAATTTATTTGAAAAAAATTATAATTTTAACTAGTTTATTGAGTAACTGGTTTAGGATGTAAGCAGAAAACAATTTTAATCATTATTATTTTAAATTTTATCAAATATGTTCCCCATTGCTGGATGAAATCTAGGGTAGATATGTTAGTTTTTCTTGTCATTCTAAGATATTAATGAATTGTGTCACCCCTCCCCCAACTAGTAAAGTCTACTTAGGTCTTATATAATAGTTAATATCTTTCATCCAATTTAAAGCTTTCCTTCTCTCCCAACTCAAGCCTAACTGGCTCAGAGCCTGCATTTAAAAAGGTAGATGTGGTTAGTCTTTTGTGATTTTTGTTCCTGTCCTTTTCATTGAATCCTCCATAGCTCATCTTTAGGTACTATTTTTTTTTAAAAAAAGGAAATGGACAGTTACATTTTGGAAAAAAATATAAATGCAAGTCCCTATGAGATATGCAGTGAGGTATCCAGTGATATATATATATATATAATATGTATATTGTATATATATATATATGTGTGTGTGTATACATAATATATATAATGTATATATTTGATATATATATATAATATATATAATGTATATGTTTTACATATATATTTTATATATATATATGATACATAAATCAAAAGCATATGGTAGAGTGGCACAGATATGGAGTCTTCAAGATGTAGGCCACTAAAGCCTGAGAGCATGTGATAAGAACACTCAGGGAACCATGAAGCATGACATAAAACACCACATGAGAATAGAACTCTAGAAAACCAACATTTCAGGGAGGAAAAAGATGGCTCTAGTAAACCAAAAAGAAGTCAGGGAGTTTCAGGAAGAAAGAAGGGATGAAGAGTTTCAGAACCAACTCCAACAACTGAGAATAACGAGAGCCCAAGCTGAGAAGAAGAAACCAGCAGAGAAAGAGAAACAGAAGATAAAGTTAAGAGGAGAATTAAAGGTCTAAGAAAAAAAAACACAGGATAAATTTTCCATATGGAAGATAATATTTGTATTCTTAACTAAATTAGTAGGTAAGGGTAGTGAAAGTCATTACCAATAGATCCTTATATTAAAGGGGTTACCTGTAACATCGATCCGTGAGTGGAGTAATAACCAGCCTAGGGGAATTACCCAGATATTCATACCCATATCGCAAACCAGCATTGATCATTTTTGTTTCTAAATTATTTTCCTAGGATAAAGCAGACAAAATTAAATTAGGTCAATATAACAACATTTTAAACAATATGATCTCAAGCTTTTTAATAAATAATAACACAAAGTAGACTTCTGTAAAATGTATTTGTAAAATTATCATTTGCTTCAGAAGAATTCAAAAGCTAGTTTCCATAAGAGAAGTAATTAAAGTCATTGGTTTTAATTTTTCCCATCGAATGCTTTAGAATTTGTCCCTTATTTCTCCCATATTTTCAATGTTTCCCCCCAATATAGAATGAGTATTATCATTATCAACATTTTCTAGATGAGGAAACTGATACTTAGAGTAAGGAACTCGCTCAAGGTTATACATCTGGTAAGAGGAGGAGCTGGCATTTAAAACAACGACTCTACTACCTGAGCTTCTAACCACCATATGCACCGACACTTAAATGGTTTCCCAGGATGCTGGTTCTTGCCCCTCTTGTCTTCCTCTCATATGTCTCAAGACTTCCACAAAAGCCTGTATACTGAGAACTTCCAAGTGCATTTCTCCAGTCACCTCCTCTCTCTGCCCATGCTTAGCAGGCCACTGTACAAACTGTTCCTGCTCTGCCTGCCTTCCCAGTCATGATGACCATCACCAGCCACCCATATACCCTGATAAAATCCTTCCTCACAGATCATTCCTCTAGATTCTGCCATTGATCAATGATAGGAAAGTTTGATCTGTACATTCTTTGAATGTACTAGGAATCTAAAAACTGACTAATCCCAACATTTAAAAGATTTTAAATGAATAATTAAAAAAAATTTTTTGTTTATTTTCATATATATATATACATTTAGGTATATATATATACACACGTGGATAGAGATATAAGCATAGATATGAAAATATAGATGTATATATTGGCTGTCTTATTCTGCAATATGGAGAATCACTTATATAAATATAGTCAGTCATCAGCAAGAAATTCTACATTACTATTTCCCTTGTGAGCAAGCAAACACAAATTAAAAAGCCATGAGCTGAAATTGCTATGTAATAACATTCAGTGGGAGCACTTACTTGCCAGTAGTACCTCAGCTGACTTAACCATTCAAAGTTATTGTCATCACTAACATTTTTTTTCACAAGTGCTGCAAGGACGTCTCTAGCATGGACGTCCAGTACCACAAGGGCTCCCAGAGTAACACGATTCTGCTTGGACAATTTGCCACGGACCAAGGTGACAATATCATCAATTTGTCTGTTACATTTTTCCAAATATTGCTCAAGAGCCTTAAAGAAAGTAAAATAAGATACAATTTCCCAATGTGATCAGAATAATTTTGAACAAAACCATTTTAACTAGCATGTATATAGGGTATTCTTGGTATTTTATCATAATTTTCTATATGATGGTTTTAAAATAGCATCTCTCTATTACTACAAAGGTATTAGGCAAACAAGTCCAATCTGGCAAGATATAGTGGATATATGTGCTTTATATCAATACAACATCCTTTCTCTGTTCTCTGTGATTCTGTTTGGAGCTGTCTATAATATTCCCCATCTCCGTCGCAACATGAAGCAGGCATGTGGGACCTAATGAGAGCCAATCACAGTTCTTCCCAGGGACTGCTATCCAACCAAGAGAAAAGCTGCTTTTCACTAGGCTAAGCAGACTGTCAATATGTCCTCAGGAAGATACTGAACGTCTTCTTTCTCTTTCAGAAAAAAAAACTGCTAGTAACTAGCAGATAGATGTAGATGGTGAACGAGGGACTACTGCAATGAAGAAGCCCTGAGACTCTGACTCTTTCTCCACCTTTGATCCTATGAGTCCTTCTAAGTTTCTTACACACATTTTCTGAAAGGAGTTTATATCACTTGAGATGAAAAGATACTGCTATATTTTGGAAATGATTTGAGTGTGTCCCCAGAAGGTCCGTGTACTGGAGGTTTGGTCTCCAGGGCAACAGTGTTGAGGTGGTTGAACATTTAAAAGATGGGGCCTAATGGAAAGTAACTAGATCATGGACATCACCCTCAGAAGGGATTAATGCAGGCCTCCTGAGACTGGACTAGGTCCCATGAGAATGGGTTGTTATTTTAGAAGGGAACCTGGCCCCTCCTTAGTCTCTCTTGTTATTTATTGCATCGTGTGATCACTCCCTCTTGCACACACTCCTACCATAATACATGCATCATGTTTGATATGACCAGAAGGCCCTCATCAGAGTCCAATCAGATAGAACTGCCCAATCTTGGATTTGCAACTTCTAAAACCGTGACTGAGATAAACCTCTTTTCTGTATGAAGTACACAGCCTCATATTTTGCTATGGACTAAGATACTAATAAGCAGAACATCACATGGTTTAGTTTTCTGAAGACTAAGACTGCTTTGGAGTCTCTCTTCTGGTAGCTCAATCTAATAAATAAGTTCAAAACAGAAGAGGGTTTAGGATGAAAATCAAATTAGCATCAATGAACACCACTGTGTTTAAGGGAATTGTCAATAGGTTTCACCAGGTCATTTTATCCACTCCAAAAATCTTTAATAAACAGTGTACACTGAAGAATTTATTTCACTCTCTTTTAAGTCCATTGCTAAGTGTAAGATTAAACTGAAAGTAAGGCTTTCCAAGAATGAAAAAAGTTTAAAAGATAAGATCTGGAGACTGAAGGTTTTTTCTATATAGGACACTTGTCTTATTCCTTGAATTATGTTATCTTTGTTTAATTGTTATTTTTAAGACAGCTCTGTATTTAAAGGTTTGGTGCTTAAACATTATTCCATTTCTATTATTTACATGATTAATTTGTTAGTAATTTTCTTAAGAAATGAAAAATGAACTTTTGTTCCACCAATGTTTAACCATATAAATATTTAATTCCTTTAACCTAATTAATGAATTTAACTATATCAAGCATATACATAAGTAAGGATAGTTTTGATCCTCGGAATACAAGCTGTGCCAATTGGTGTATCTTAGCTTTCTCAGCATCAGTAAAATTTAGAATCTCTAAGAGTCTTAACAGTTCTCACATTCTATTGTGATGCAAAATAAAAATGTAACATTTGAATTTATTGTATGTACATATTATATTCCCAGAAGAATGAACTCCTCTACCCTAGAAAAACAGACTTGAAACTAAAATTTAGCTTCAGATTATAATAAACCAAGTTTTTTAGGACTGTGTTAAATGAATCAATGAATTTTTTTTGATGAAATAAATTGAAAAAAAATCATTTACACTGATAACATTTTTGTTACATTTCATTCCCTATAAAACAATCTTATTGTGAGCCAATGAATCTGAAAATAACTAGTATAATATTCAACTAAAATAAACCTTGCCTAAAATCTCACAATTCTATCATACTTAGATTCTTCTATCTGTAGCACTAAACACTGCCTCAAAATTATAGTAGTATTTACAATATCCTGGGCTCTGGGGAAGTAGTAATTCTTCCATTTATTCTATACTCCCTGTAATGCTTCACACAGACTAATTTTATAATCAACAGTCATTGAAAAAATAATTGTAAACACAGATCCTGGGGTGAACAGGTCTTCTGGGAGCATGACAGTGTAACATGGTGCTTGCTATAAGACACTCAGCTTTCGGGTGTTTGCAGAGAATGGAAGCACTCTGTCTTCCATGAGATAACCAAGAGTCTTGTGCTGCTCATCTGAAGTCATCAATTTCACATATGAGCCACTCATTCATAAGGGAAAAAAAACTCTTAACATATGGAATATTAAAACATGCTAGCCTACAGTGACACAATCTCATATTATTTTTTTCTTAATTCTAGACAACACTAAAGCATGTACTGACTCCTCATGATGATGCTACAGAACTTGAATGACCAGAACTTGGATGAAATATGACAGGGACATATCTGGAGAAAGGCAGATTAAAACAGGAAAATCACAAGCAGATGAAAAAGAAAAGAATTTTTGAGGATGCATGAAAAGTTTGATTTCATGCCACAAAACTTAGCTGTGAAAGTATGTAATTAATATAGTAGCAGCCACTCAAGAGAAAAACATAGTTTCTATTCTGGCATTCTTGGTGACTGGTTCCAGACCTGCACCATATAATATCATGTAATAAAAATGAACAGGATAATAATGTATAATTAACCCTAGCCCAGTATCCGTGAAGACTTTTTAAACAACAACAGCAAAACCCTGGAGGGGGCAAGATGGCTGATTAGAGTGGGGCAGCATTTCTTCTAACTTGGCTACCCAGAACTCAAGCAGCAGGAACACTAGTCTTCCCATCTCCTGAGGCTTAGAGTGAAAAATGCTGAGACTGGAGCAGAAGTCTGCCCTAGCTGAACCAGAGACTGTTTGACTCATTAATCAGATCTGAAAAAAAAACCTCTTGCCCTGAGTTTATCAGTCATCTATGGAGGACTGATCCAGGAGTCATCTTGGTTCCGCAGCATGGCGGAGCCTATGGAAACTGGAAGGCCATATTTGTGAGTTTTCAGCTAAGTCTATATAGGCCTTTCTGAGCCTAGCAAACCTGTGGAAAGTCAGACACTGGGAGCATGTTGCCCAGAGGAACACAGGTTAGAGAAGCTCAGGAGAACCAGGCTCCATGAGTTCTGTGGCTCATAGGGACTGACAGGGCTGGCTACAGCAGGCGGGAAGGCTAGAAGAGAGGATGTGAGGGATTTTGCTCTCAGCTTGCTCACCCAGCCAGTTTGGTACCCTCCATGTTCCCAGAGCCCACCTGGGCCAGCACTTGCCCAATCCCAGAACCAGCCTGGTCCCCTGCTACCTCTGCAGTCCAGCATTCACTGGTCCCAGGGACCTACCAGGATCCTCCCCAGTCCCCAGTCTCCCAACCCCAACCCCCACATCAGCCCACCTTTCTGTTAAGTAGACCCGCAGCACAGCTGCCAGCCCATAGGCCTGCATGCCAAGTGGCTGCTTTGCCACCACACCTGCCAGGTCCAGCACATAGCCTCACTGCTGGCTCATAGGATCCAGCACCAGCTCCTAATCCACCTGCCCCATCCTCCATGGTGGATCAGCCTGAAGCCTAGTCTACCCACACTAATCTCCCAAGAAGGGAAATTCAGAAGTCTTAAACTCCAACCTTTGATATGATGAGCAACACAATAAAAAGGAAGGATGCACGATTCATGGCCCATACTCCCATGCCTAGATCATACCACAAAAAGAAAACCAGGTGGGCACAGACAGTGAACACAGAGCTCACTGACTATTTTGTCCACCATAGATGATACGACTCCTTAATTTCTTAACATTTCACCAAGATTGTTGTTGTTGTATTATTGCTTATTTGTTGTGGTAATAGTTCTGTTTTGATTTTTGTTTTTGGGATTCTATATTGGATGTTTGTTTTATTTGAATGTGTACTAACTGATTCAAGGAATCCTGTACATATTCATATTTGTTTCTCTATCCTCATTATCCTCATTTCTAGCCTTTTTTCTTTTCTTTTCTTTCTTTTTTTTTTGTCATTGTAGTTTGTTTGTTTGTTGTTTTGTTTTTTTGGTTTGTTTTTGAAGGTGTTAGTTTTCCATGCTCTATATTTTGAGGGTTAGGGTTTCTGATTCTGTTTTGTATCATCTTTATCACTACTCTATTTCCTCTTGTCGCCCTCTCTCTTTTCTTTATCCTGACTCCCAAATTCCATTCTCTCTCCCCTCTTGTATATTCTATTTTTCCTTCCCCTTTCAAATTAACATTTCCTAAGTAACCACTGCATCTGCCCTATTCACCCTTTGAAATTGCAAACATGTTTCTACCTTCCTGTCTCTTTTTCTTTACACATACTCATTCTATCCTTCAGACTTCTTAATACAAATTGAAGTATATAACATCTACACCTACCACCAATGTCACAGAAATAATTAATAGAACAAAGTCATAGTAACACCTGTATTGTTTGATTTTGAACCATATATAATACATGATTATATACTGTTTTTAGTGCTGGAAATTGCTGATCCCACTATCCCTACTACATATCATACCAATTAATACTGAATATCAAAATAAGAACTAAGGACCTAGTCTACTACTATATATTGCGTGCATACATTGTTGCTATCATTGGGCTGCCCTACCCCCAAGCAGTAGAATTTACTAAATAATCAAAATCAGAGCTGAAAGCAATAAAATTTCAGCAAAAAGAAATTCAAAAAACAGACAAAACAAAAAAATCAATTATTTGAAAAAACAAATAAAATCAACAAACACTTAGCCAACCTAATGAAGAAAAGAAAGAAAACTCAAATAACTAAATTTCACCATGAAAAAGGGAGTATCATCATAGAGACTAATGAAATACAGACAGTAATCAGAAACTACTTTGAAAATGTATACCCCAATAAAATAGAGAATCATGACTACGTTGACAAATTTCTAGAGACACATGACCTACCCCAATTGAATCAGGAAGACATAGAAAATTAAGCAAATCAATTTCAAGCAATGAAATTGAAGATGCTACCAAAAGCCTACCAAGAAAGAAAAGCCCAGGACCAGATGGATTCTCAGGCGAATTTTACCAGTTCCTCAAAGAAGAATTCACACCAATCATCTTCAAATTATTCCATAAAATAGAAAAGGAGGGAACCTTTCCAAACTCATTCTATGAAGCTAATATCACCCTGATACCAAAACCAGACAAAGACACATCAAGGAAAGAAAACTTCAGACCAATATCCCTCAAGAATATAGATGCAAAAATGCTTACTAACATACTGGCAAATCACACACAGAAACATATTTAAAAAATAGTGCACCGTGATCAACCTTTGAAAATGGAAAGACCTCCCATGTTCTTGTATTGTCAAAATGGAATACTACCAAAAGTCATGTACATATTTAATGCAATTCCCATTAAAATTCCAATTTCTATTTCATATAAATAGAAAAAGTAGTCATGAAATTCATTTGGAAAAATAAGAGGCGCAGAATAGCCAAAGCAATCTCCAGTGATAAAAGTAATGTGGGAGACTTCACAATTCCAGACCTTAAATTATACTACAAAGCTTTAGTAACAAAAATGCCATGGTATTGGCACAAAAGTAGATTCAAAGACCAATGGTACAGAATGGAAGATGCAAAGACATACCCACATAAATATACCAGACATTACCTCTGACTCATACCAGACAAAGGCACCATAAACACACATTGGAGAAAAGATAGCCTCTTCAACAAATAATGCTGGGAAAACTGGAAATCAATATGTAACAAAATAAAATTAGACCCCTGTCTCTCACCATACACAAAACTAATTTCAGACCTTGTGCCTACTAAAAGAAAAAGTAGGCCCAACTCTCTATTATCATGTTGGCTCAGGAACAGACCTTCCTCAAAATAAGACTTCTACTAAAGTGCAAAAAATAAAATCAAGAATCAATAAATGAGATGTCATCAAACTAAAATGCTTCTTCACAGCAAAAGGAACAATCAAGAACCTGAAGTGAGAGCCTACAGAATGGGAAAAAATCGTTACCACCTCTACACCTCAGGTATAGCATTAATTCCAGAATATACCAAAAAAAAAAATCAAAACACTTAACACCTAAAATACAAATAACCAAATAAATAAATGGGCAAAGAAACTGAACAAGCACTTCACAGATGAAGAAATATGAATGCTCAAAAACTATATGAAAAAGTGTTCAACTTCTCTAGCAATTAGAGAAATGCAAATTAAAACTACACTGAGATTCCATCTCATTCCAGTCAGAATGGCAATTATCAAGAATACAAGTAACAATAAATGTTGGCAAGGATATGGGGGAAAAGGTGCTCTCATACATTATTGGTGGGGCTGCAAATTGGTGCAGCCACTCAGGAAAGCAGTGTGGAGATTCCTTGGAAAACTTGGAATGGATCCACCATTTGATCTAGTTATCTACTCCTAGTCTACATCCAAAGGACTTAAAATCAGCATACTACAGTGACACAGCCACATCAATGTTTATAACAGCTCAATTCACAATAGCCAAGCTATGGAAACAACTTAGGTGTCCTTCAGTGGATAAATGGATAAAGAAAATGTGGTATAGATACAAAATGGAATACTACTCAGCCATAAAGAAAAAAAATATGGCATTTGTTGGTAAATGGATGGAACTCTAGAATATCGTGCTAAATAAACCAGTCCCACTGATATGTGCATGCTAACCAATAACAAGGGAGGGTAGGAAGGGGAAGTATCCAAGTTCATTGGATTAGACAAAGGGGAATGAACTGAAAGGAGGGGGCATGGGAATAGGAAACAGTAGAATGAATTGTATATAACTTTCCTATGCACATATATGAATGCACAACCAGTATAACTCTACATCATATTCAACCACAAAAATGGGGTCAAATTGTAATGGATTGCAATCCATGTATTTAGAATATGTCAAAATATACATACTGTCATGTAATTTCTTGTAAAAACAAGAAATAAAAAAAAACCCAAATACTATTTTCATCTATACACAATTTGGGAAGAATTACAGGCAAGAAGTTTAAGCACAGGACCCATTGAAATGGGAATAACCTACACTGGATCTCCCTGTTACTGCCTGCTTGGCATAAGACTAGAGATGTAATAAACACCACATTAACTCTGAAGAAATTTAGAAGATGCATAAACACTTGTCTTGGTGAGTGACAAAGTTGGTTGAATGGGTCATAGGGCCAGGGAGTAGGAAAGGAGATCCCAGGGAACTATGCTCTCCCCACTAGCCAGACTTGGTGAGAGAGTAATCCCTCTGTATAGGGAGGTTGGTGAAATGGTAGCTTAAGAATGAAAAGACAAAACAAATTCTCTGACACCACTGAGGATAGAGAAAAATGCACGTGGCAAACACAGCCAGGGCCCAAGAAATATCCCCCAGTGCTTACTGCTTTTAGGGAAACCCTGAGTCCCCATTGCTCTGGTTTTCAGGAAGAAAGATGTTTTTCTGAAAAATAGCTACAACCTGACTTACACCCTTAATTCCTTCCTGGAAAGAAGTAAGTAGCATGTTGGTAAACTGCAGTAATTTAAGCATGTGCTACTCAGCTTCTTTCTCTTTGGGATCTGCCTACCCACAGAATCATGTATCCCTCCCAAACTCGGACACTTTCTAATGTTCAACACTGCCTTAGCACTAAAGACATACCAAATTCCATGTCAAAAATGCATTTAAAATCAGTGATTTTAAACTAAAGATCTACTATTGCTAGGCTGATGGGTCAACTGTAAAACTGGTTCACTTGAAATCCTATCTCAAGGGTAAGATGTTTGATTAAGTCTAATTTTGCTTTTTAGTTAATAACAGCCATCCAATTATTTTTTAATTCAGATATATGAATATATTAGAATATTTAAATATTTAATAATAAACATCATTCAAAATATCACTTATTCAAAATCAATACATTAAAAAAATCAAACATCAAAAAATAGTCAAAATAAATCATCTGATCCCTTGTCTATATAGGATAGTTTTATTCAAGGCATAAAAGAGAATTTTATTATTCTATATCTGTAAATCTTTATGAGTTTAGGGGGAAGTTTCTTAGTTGTTTTGTTTTTGGTGGTGCTGGGGATTGAACCCAGGGCTTTGTGCATGCTAGGTAAGCACTCTACCAACTGAACTATATCCCCATCCTTTAGTCCTCTATTTTTAAAGGCACACAAATGTATATAATTACAAGACTGAGGATCAAATACCCTTAAATTTTGCATAATGTGAATAAACAAGTGGTTTAGACATAAGTTTTAAATAATTATTTTTACTAGTTTTTTTGATCTATTTGTGATATAATATTTTTATTTAAGGAATCTATAGTTTTACTTATAGCATAAAATAGATTTTATGTGGACTGTCTTTGTTCTATTTTGTAAAATAAGTATATTCTGACAGAGGCAATTATTGAAAAAATTGGGGGTGATAAAAGCTTACCTCTAGCCCCAGTGGAATAGCGGTTTGTACTTCTTTTGTCCAAAAGGTTTGGGATACACAGAGAACAGTCTGTCCAGGCCATTCTCTTACCCAGTTAATTCGTTCATTTTTGGTATAAGCCAAAATCGCATCTAGAATTACCTAATTAAAAACAAAATGCTAAAAATGAACCATTCTGAAGAAGTTATAAAATGAAGAATTAAACTCCTAAAATAGACTAACTAAAACTGCTCAACTTTTTACAACATTCTTAACTAATTATGGAAGATTCACATAAAGTATCAAAACTCAGCTATCTATTTGATTCACATACTTGTTAGCAAAGCAAATATATAACATTTACTTTTGCTGATTCATTGTCAATTTGTAGGAACCACAATAAATCAGGTAATCATGAGACAAGTTTTAGCCAAAGACATTCTATCAGTTTGGAGAAGCATGAGTAACTTTATTGCAAAATACAAATTCAAAAAAAATTCCAAAATGAGATCCATAAAATTTAAGGCTAATGATTTTCTTTTGGTTTCATCAGATTTTCACTCAGCCACGTGCATATGTGAAGAACCACAGTGTTCTAAAGTGTCCTATGTTCCAGACCTCCCTCCCTCCCAATCCTGTATATTTTGACTCCCAAGGTAATGAAGACAGGAACAGATGTGTGAATTCTGTCATGGAGAGTTGAGAGCTGTAAAGCTAAGGTCTAATTTATGTACTTTGCTGCATATGTTCCCTGGACTGGTATGTCTACTTTTTGTACCAGCCATTAGTGGGGAAACAGTCCAGTCTATCAAATGTACCAACAAAAGTAGTAACGTTCTTTGACAGGTGTATGAATTTCAAGAAAACTGTCAAAATTAGATGTTTCAGAGAAACATATACAAATGGTTCAAACTTTTGGGATTTCTAGTCTATCTGGGAGATTTATAAAACCAAACAAAGATAAAGGACAGAGTGATGGTGATCGATAACAAAAAAAAAAAAAATTCTAAAACCCAGAAGCCAGAAAGGACAGGTAAAAATGGACAGCCAACTGAAGGATGGAAGAAATAAAAGAATAGAAAGGCAGAGCCGAGAAATGCCAGGATGGAGTAAATATGTAAAGGACACTGTGGGGAGAACAAGAAGAAGACATTAAAATCTGAATCACAAAAAGGATTATACGTAGTTAGATGATGAGAAAAATTATTATATAAAATTCCAAAGTAGCTTATTATTATATCTATGAATACTGTGTTCATAGTATGTACTTATATATGCAATCACATTGCAAGCATGCAAATAACACACATATCTCCTATTTATAGTATTTGATGTTGCATTTACTTGATTATTTTACCAACAAAAACATGCACATTAGTGTTTTGTGCAGATATGTATTTCCTATAAAATTTCTTGCTACCACATCTTAATGCTCTAAGGTGGCAGCCAAAATATTTTCTCTAAGCACTTTGACAAACAAACTTAAAAGAATAGTTCAAATAGTAACAGGCATGTCTACAAAAATGAGTTATAACTGTATATGACATAAATTAAGAAATCATATAACTCAATTTAATGCTGCCAAATTTATCTGCATTGCTAATGGCTACATAAATAGTCATGCTATTTCTCAATACTTATCAAGGTCTATGGAAACTTATTCTTCTTTGGCCTAGTAGTCCTACACATGAGAAGTTATCATAAAAAAATAGCTAGTTCAATCAAACAAACCAGCTATATTTATAAATACATTCATTTTAATGTTATTCATAACAGGGAGAAAAAAGAAAACTGCAAAAGATTTTACATTTACTGAAAAATATTATTAGGGGAGATATTAAAGCTATATTTAGGATAAGAAAGAAACCTTAAGATACTTGGGTGACATTAAATGCCTAGATTCTAATAAATGTCTCCAATAATATGAAAGAATATAAAAAAAATTAAAAATTAATTAATTATGCTCCCTTCCCTCTCTGTCTTAATCATGATTTTTATTCTTTTTTTTTAGAGAGAGAGAGAATTTTTAGTATTTCTTTTTTTTTTTTTTTTTTTTTTTAGTTTTCGGTGGACACAACATCTTTGTTTGTTTGTGGTGCTGAGGATCGAACCCGGGCCACACCCATGCCAGGCGAGGGCGCTACCACTTGAGCCACATCCCCAGCCCGATTTTTATTCTTTATGAAAAACTTAACTTGATTACTAAGCCCATATTATAGAAAAAAAATTTAAGTGCTCAATCTATTTGTGAGAATGCCTTGAAATTCTCTACTAACATAAAAAATAATTGAACAGTGTGACTTATGAAATGTGGAAAGCATGAAGTCGGCATTACTTGAATGATATATTATGATTTTCTGATGTTGTAGTATGTATTTTACATAGAGAACAATAAGATTCATATCTGTCAAGGAGATTGATGTGAACATATAGAGATGTGCTTCCAAGGCAAGACTAAAATAGCTCATGTAAACAAAAGTATGTCTAATTGATGATGAAAGCATTATCATGTGGCTGTAAGAAATAAGACAACACATTATTAAATTCTTGGGTAATATGTATGGTATTTTGTTCTATTTCAAGTGAGTCACTACAAAATAACTACCTTAGACTTTAAGCATCTATTACACTTAAAATGGTAATTCTATTTAAATAACAACACATATGTCAATGATAAATTTGTAATAATATTAACACTTTATCACTTTTTTCTAAAAGCAATAATAAGTATAACCAGTTATTACCTTGTGGATGGATTTAATCATAATTCTCTCTAACTCAACCAACCATTTCTCCACTTGACCTCTGGCTTTGGCTGTTGAAATGATATCTGTGAGTTCTACAACTTCTCCTTCACTACTCTTCATATGAGTAATATCTAAAGTTTCTGTAAATTCTACCCTTGCAATTCCTTCAAAACATTTCTTCAAGTGAGGTTGCACCCTTTCAAAGAAAAACATTAAAGAATTAATCAAATTAAAGCAATCCCTAACATTTTAAAATTAATAAATGTGTACTCAGTGTTAGGCCTATGGAGATGAAATACTGAGCAGAAAAGAAAAGAAAAACAAAATAGAGCAAAAAAAAAAAAAAAACAAGACAAAATATCTGCTTAAGTGGGTTATACAATCCAGTTAAATCCAGTTAAGGGGTTAGTACTAATTGAATAACCACAAAAATATCTGTGAAAGTTACAATTATAATAAGAGCTATAAAGGAGATATCTTTAAGTCTTTGCTTTTAATATAATGAATTGAAAGATGCCAAAAGTAACAAAACAACCAAACGAATTTTAACTCACAGCTAAGTACACTAAGCTGAAGAATCTTCAAGTGCACAAAAGTAGTCATTTCAAGTGGAGTCTTTAGAAACTGCTTTAAAATTATGGACTAAGTTTAGTACTTTACAGCTTATTAAATCAACTGCTTTGGCATACTCAACTGTTAGTCTATTCAGTGTACTATAGATGGGACTGACTATACCTCTCATTTTGGGCACATTGCTAATAACCAGTTGCATTCATCTTTCAAATGGGCAAAAAAGAGCAGAGTATAAAACTCAAATGGAACCTAAATTTGTCTTTTTTTATCTGGACTATGTGACACCTTCTTTGAAGGCCCAAGATATAAAATAAACAAATTTGCTTAACAAATATATATATATATATATATATATATATATATATATATATTCACTCCCTTCTTTATATCAGATGCTCTTCTAAGGATTGAGGAATCAACAGTGGGGAAAAATAGCCAAAACTTTCTATAATCATAGAGTTTATATTATGCTAGAGGAAGACAATTAGTACGTAAATAAGTAAATTAGAGAGTACACCCGGTGACAACAAGTAGGCAGAAGGAAAAATAAGGAAGCGAAGGGAAGTCCAGGAAGTGCTGGAGGCATGACATTTTAAGTATCATAGTTTTGCCTGAGTTTGAGTAGGTTTCCACACCACCTCTAGGATGTAAGGAAGAAGTCCGTGCACATTTGTGTAAGGAGCATCGTAGGCAAAGGGAACATGTATGCTGAATGAGGACACTGCCAGTCATGGCAAAGCTACTAACTTTTACTTTAATTGTGAGGAAGAGGAGGAATGTGCCCTGAAAATAATCTGTTAGAAAATATCTGATCAAATATGAAATCCATTCTAAGGTTCAGCACTGGGGAAAATATCATTGAATGGTATTACTAGTTTTTAATAGTTATTCAAAGTTGTTTGTTGGTAATATCTAGAATATTCTTGAAGAAAAATTATCATATAGGCATGATTGTACATAATTGTTTACATACACATATAAACTTAGCCATGTATGATAATACATGTAAGTTGCTTACCTAGTGGGGTCTTTAGTCTCAGATAGTATCTCAAGAAGTTCATCATTCGACAAGAAAAAGAATCTGGGGAAGAAGAGACGTTTCTTTTCCAAATATTCATTAAGTCCTTTAAGAATGAGTTCCAAAAGTTCATTAGATTTTTTCAATCTTTCCAGCATTCTCTCAATAGTTACCACTGACAGAACACGTTTATCCTAAAAATAAGAGAAAACCCTCAACTTGAAAATATTAGATAACTAACTTTATTTACTTTCATATTATATTTGGATTACATATTTTTATTCAAATGAAGATTATGTAAATTTTAATGTGAATATTTACTTTTTAAATCAGTCTTGCATATTCTAGGTCTAACAAGCCTCTTTAGTCATGTAAAAAGTCATGTTGACTTGATCCTCAGACATAATGTTCACTATTTCTTATTCTGAGTTGGAAACTATAAGAGTAAGAGAGAAGAAGACACAGAGAGAGATGGAGAGAAAAAAAGACAATATACTATCTGAACTTGCAAGAAGGATGGTGGGTGGTAAAGAATAGGATGAAATATGTTCTTTTGTCTTTTATTCTTTGAGAAAATATACCCTAAATAGTAAGTCATCATTATAATGAAAATTTTGAATATTATTGCTATAAGTAAAATAATCCAAATTCCTGTTTTTAAAAACTACAGGTAATAAATAAGTACTGTGGGTAGTGGAGAAGTTTTCTACAAACTTTTATAAACCACCACCCTTGGAAGCAACTGTGCTTGCTTGAGGACTTAAGTTCAAGGTACGTTCTTCCTGAGCTCCCAAGAGACTAAAACTGGCCCACCTTGAAAGCATGGACATGAAAGTGTCACTCTGAGCTATCTCCTTCAAAGTGATTCAAACAGAATCAAGTATTTTAAAAAGAGGCGTTTTTTTTTTTTTTTTGTACTTCATGATTCAAAATAAGAATTATAACCAAAAGCTTGTCTTAAGAACTCTTATTTTTTTTAAAAAGAATTTATTGACTTCTCAGAATATCCATACATTAACCACTGGGGTTTATGAAAATCTTCAGAAATATATATTAAAATACAATCTAGATATAGTTGAAATAAAACTCTTTTTTCCTTAGCACATGATTGATGTCATCCAGGTCTATAATTGGTTTTATAATTCCTAGCTCAGTGTTCATGGAAAAATTCTTTACTAAGAAAGTTTTAAACACAAGAGATTTCAATTATCAGGCCAAATAAAAATTCCATCAGAATACATTAGACATTTATTACCATCACAGGGTATTTAAGAAAATTTATATGAAATTGAAAAATAAAAGAACATCATTTAAAAAGAAACATTGAATTTCAAGATTAACTATTTAAACTTATTTTGGGTGTTCAGTCACAACGGAAAGATCAACCAAAAATGTCAGCTATAAACTCTTTCCTATAAAAATTTATTCTATTTCAAGAGTTTCTAAAATACATTTTTGTTAAGGTACTTTGTGATTGAAAAAATATACTTTTCTGCTTTATTTTGAACTTTAACAATGTAACTTGAAAAGAATTTAAGCAAAGGACAAAACAATTACCGTTGTTATTTATTTTCTTAATAAAACAAGAACAACATACTACCATCAAATCAACTTATCTTGAAAGCATATTATTTTATTTCCTAGCAGTTTTGTGTTTCAAATGAATATTAGGTACACACACACACACACACACACACACACACACACACCAGGACAAAGACTCAGGCCATAGTTTAAAATGTACAATTCATCCAATACATAATAGAGTAGTAGTCCTATATTCCTAAATCTAAAAATCAAAATGGTGTTCTTCAAGCGCCACCTTCTGGAAAAGTATTCTTTGTTTTTTTTTTTTTTTGTTTGTGTGTGTGTGTGTGTGTGTGTGTGTGTGTGTGTTTTAAAAGCAGAATTGCTGATCAAAGGGGAAAAACTCCTTTCAGAGAGATAAATAATATTTGTTTTTCTCTTGTCCAAATAATTGTCTAAATAATTTCTTGTAATGTTGCTGTAATATTTGAAAGCTTGAAATTTAGTTTTTAAATAACAAGCACATTCCTTTCTCAAAATAATATAATTACCAAACAACAAACAAGCAAGCCAAAAAATCCTAGAAAAACTAAGCATTCAATTAAATTTTTTTTACTACAGGTTGAATATTCCTTATCTGAAATACTTGGAACCAGAAGTTTTTCAGATTTCAGAGGTGGGATTTTTTTTCTTTTAATTTGGATAAATTTTACCAGTTCAGCATCCTTAATCTGAAAATTCAAAATCCAAAATAAAAGTTTTGCATTTTGGAACATTTCAGGTTTTGTATTAGGGCTCAGTCTGTACTAAACCCAAGGTCAAACCAATCAGATTAGCTCAATGACTGAAACAAAAATGCCACTTCTAAATGAACATAGGCAATAATCTGTGTACTTCTGTATATGGATTTCAGAAAAAATATGAAGAAGTAATCACCTCATGACTGAAATATAAACACTTTCACCCTCTCCCAGGGAGAACAGGAATATACCAAGGACTGCGGCAGATAAAGGAAAGGCCCTAAAATGGGACAGAACTTGTTTCTATCCCACATTCTGCTTCTCAGTACCTGTGTGACCTCAGATCATGGCTTGATCTCTTTTCCTAGCTATAAAAGGGGGAGAAGAGCTCTCAAAGGTAGCATGAGAACCAAATTAGCAACATACTTGAAGTGACTAATATTGTGCACATACACTTAAAACTTCCCCTTCACTCCCCATCCCTTTCCATACCTGGATGAGAGGGGGGAGTAAAAAGAGGGGGCAGGCACTGACTCCAGGGAAAAGGGGCAAGTGAGACACTTAAATTGCTTCATCCACTTCAATGGAGTTAAAATTAACATTTGATAATCTGCAATCCTTCAAGAAAGATATTTATCATAGTAAAATAAAACTGACTTTGAATCCCTTTGAAGTATCACCATAAAATCCTGGTACAGAATAAGCATTCTGTGAATATATGTTGAATGCCTGAGGAATGTAGGCAGGTGAAGCCTGTAGCCATACAGAGGAGCTCAAGGAACTTCCACCCACTACATGGTACCAGGCTGGTACTGATTGGCTATGTTCTCAATATATAATAATAAGGTGTGAAAACAGGAAACTACTAGAAACTTGGAACTTGGTGTGACTTCCTTGACACTTTATGTCTCCTGGAGGGAAAGAAATGAATTATTACCCATCATACATTTTGATTAAAGAAACAATTTTATAACTGTCACGTGTCTTCTTTTGCTTCATAAGCATCACCAATTTCATCAGCTTAAATAATGATCTATAGGTTGATTTGATATTTCCTAGCCAAAGGACTATGCTAACATAGGACTGAAACTTTTATTTGGGTATACAGAAAGAGTTTTCTAATTACTGCTACCAGAAAGCTTCCACAGAAAACACAGTTGTATATACTACACAGAATTAAGCTCAAGCTTGCTTGGTCAACTTTTGGAATCATAACCTTCCTCATCAGAAATTCCTGGACAACAGACAACTGGTAAGAACCTCATTCACTAAGAATGAAAATGTGGGTCAAGCAGAGCCTTAAGATCCCCTGCAACTTTGATTCTTTGACTTGATCAGGAGAAGAAATTCTTTCATTTCAGACTCAGGATATATTTCAGGGTTAATCCAGATCTCAGGGTCCACTTACCTAAATATGAATTTTCACAGAAGGGCTTTCAGAATAAATTCAGAATTGATTCAAGAATTAACCTCAGTTGTTCATTTGCTCATTCAACAAATACTTGCTGGGGGTCTGGCTGTGTTCAGTCACAATTTTCAGTGCTTAGGTGATAACAGTGAACAAAACAAAGACCCCAGCCTCCACAGGGAGTTGGACAACAAATAACAAACATACTGATTTGAGTAGTTGGGATAGAAGATCAAAACAGCTGCAAGATTCCCTTAAGCCAAAGCTAAATCCAGAGCATGGCCCTCACTCTCTTCAATTCTATGAAGACAGAGAACTGAGGAAGCTGCAGAAGAACAGTTTGAAGTTAGCAGAGGAGGGTACCTAAATTATATACAGGTTTAGCTCATTTTATTGTATGTCATTTCATTATGCTGCACAGATACTAAGTTTCTTACAAATTGAAGGTCCATGGAAAGCTTGTGTAGAGCAAGTTCATTGTTATCATTTCTTCCCCAACATCTTGTGCTCATTTCTCATCTCTATGTCACATTGTGGTAATTCTCAAAATATTTCAAACCTTTTCATTATTATTATATCTGTTATGATAATCTGAGATCAATGATCTTTTATACTTACTATTATAATTGTCTGGGGGTAGCACAACCTCACCCATGTAAAATGGCAAACTTAATAAGTGTAGTATGCGTTCTGGCTGCTCCATCAATTGACCAGCCCTCCATCTCTCTCCTTTTCCTCAGGCCTCTCTATTCCCTGAGACAACAGTATTGTAATTAAGACACTCAATAACACTACAGTGGTCTCTAACTGTTCAAGTGAAAGAGTGACATATCTTTCACTTTAAAATCTATAAGTCATTAGCTTAGAGAAGGCTCACTGAAAGTCAAGATAAGGTAAAAGGTAGGCTTCTCTTGCCAAACCATTGGCCAAGAAGTAAATGGAAAGGAACAGTTCCTGCAGGAAGTTATATGAATGTAAAAAAGTGAAGCAGCTCTAAACTGGTGTGGAGAAAGTTTCAGTAGTCAGGATAGAAGCTTTGATATATGTACACAATGGAACATTATTCAGCATTAAAAGAGAATAAAATCATGGCATTTGCAGGTAAATGGATGGAGCTGGAGAATATAATGCTAAGTAAGCCAATCCCCAAAGACCAAAGGCTGAATGTTTTCTTTGATATGAGGATGCTGACTCATAATGGTGATGGGGCCAGAGGAGCATGGGAGGACTGGAAGAACTCTAGATAGGGCAAAGGGGAGGGAGAGGAAGGGGGCAAGAGGGTAGGAATGATGGTGGAATAAGTTAGACAGCAATATCCTAAGTACATGTATGAAGACATGAATGGTGTGAAAATACTTTGTGTATAATCAGTGACTTGAAAAATTGTGCTCTATATGTGTAATATGAAATGAACTGCATTCTGCCATCACATATAACAAATTAGAATAAATAAATAATAAAAAAGAAGATCAAAACAGCTGCAGGCCCAGATCTGTCCATGCTGACTTGTGCAGGACCC